GGCCGTGGGGGTGGCACTAGGGGGGGCGCCAAGAGGAAGGCTGACGGGCAGGGAAATCAGGGGCCCGACACGAAGCGCCGTGCCAACAACCAAGGAGGAGGCCAGTGGCAGTCTGCTCCCATCGCTCAGCAGCCGCTCGCCAGTCAGGACTGGGGCGGACAGGGCTACAGTGGAGGGTCTTCCAGTGGCGGACAGGAATGGTACCAGGACTCCTACGGACAGCAGTGGAAATAGGAAGGAAAGGGTTCCTCTTCTTGGCTGGTACTTCCAAATTGGATGACACGAAATCTGATGACAGTCGGCCCTGATAACTACCTCTGTTTTGGCCATCATGGAAGATAATTATTGGAAACTGGCATCCTGTTTCCGTACCGCCCACATGACTTTATCCTCTCTCCTTTGACGAAAGTCCCCTCACGAAGATCTTTTGGAGTATACCAAGTATATCTTTCCTAGGATTACGTAGTAGTGAAAGCTTGTGCTGTGAATTTTTTGTGAATCATTCCATGTGATTGTTCTATTCTGTCTGGCTGCCTGGACACAAAACCACCAGAATTGCCTAAGGAAAGACTTTATTGGATTTAACCTTTTCGACGAGACTTCGCAGGACTTTACCTATTCTCTTACCAACAGCAGATTTCAATCCAGGCTCTTAAACCGTCAGAGGGTTTCAACTGACTAACTTTTGCTGTAAATTTGCCAAAGTGTTTGTGTCGCCTGGTCGCACTGAATTTCCAGATGCCACCGCGACGTGTGTGTTGTAGACAAACTTTTTTATTTAGGCCTATTCCTCTTGCAACCTTTTTATATCTCTAGAAAGTTAAAGTAGACTTATTCAACTGTTTGTTTTATTTGGAAAGTAGAGCAAACTGGAAAGTCAATTAGAAACAACTGTGTAGTGGATTGGCGTAATGTTTGGTAGACCGTAACCTATATATGTGTAATCATTGTATCATTTAATCCCTATCTTGAAATCATTAAATAAAGAAAGTAGCCACCCAAAACATGGTGAAAAAAAGGACAAAAAGCAAGAAACGTCTACAATTTCTTGACATTCTGTCTCGCATTTTATTGTTGGACTGAAATTCAGTCCAATATTGTCTTTTTCATTGTAGTTTATAGTATTTCAGATTGTCACCCATTGACGCAACTAGTCCTCTACTGTGGAAAATGTTCCTGAAATCGTCCTGAAACCCTGCAAACTCCAGAGAAAGTAAGCACAGCAAAATGGAGAGCTGAAAGAACAAAGCACAAAGTTCCCAAGAACACCCTCTTACCCTACACACGAAAAATAAAGTCTCACCCAATTATCACACAAAAAAAAACACTCCCAGTCCCCTTGCAAAAGTCAGAAATATACCACACATGCCCCGAGAACTAAAAAAACAAAACAAAACCCTTGCCTGACCAACTGCAGTAAAGGTAAGTTTCTGTATGTCGGTTTGAAGTATGGATGGGTGTTAGTTGTTGGTAATGTTAGCCATGTTTGGTGGGTGGTTGGGTGTTGTGGAGTGTTTGCGTGCTGTTTAACACTTGTCTGCATGTGATGGCTTTTGTGGCAGGTGGCGCTACCTGGCCGTGGGTGTCCACCCTCGCGGCAGGCGCTGCCTCGCTTCTCTGCCCAATGCTGCTCGTGTTGGACAGAACCGGGGACCCCAGGACTACAGGTGAAGTAGAGTAAGCGGTGGGGTTGGGTGACTGGAAACATGTTTCTACGTCAAAAATTGGACCTAATCAACTTGGAAATTTGCCTGCATAAAGGAGAAGTCAATTCAAATCACTTTTTTCATATCTCTCCAAAAATGGCACAAAAGATTTAGCACCTTGGATGAAATGGTGGTGGAAAGGGTTAAGGAAAAATGAGCAATAAAGAAATGTGTTTATTTCACAAGTATATAATCCCCAAGCACTGATTTCTTAAACACTGACAACATAGTTTTGTTGATCCAAAGAATCAGTTGATAAGTATGCCTCTTGCATTTCATCGTGTCTGTTTTGTTTGCCGTTCCTTTCTTGACAGTTGTGGATCTGGGACATAGGGGACTAACAAGTTCGTTGTCTGTATTATGTACTATTTCTTGTGTATTCTTTCCCAAAGCTGTGTTCTGTCTGTCTTGACTCGCATTCATGCATCAAGTAAATCTACGCATGCTGTGTTGGTATGAGTATTAAAGACCAAAAGACAGTTAATTGGGGAAAGGGGTCCAAAATTCTGTGCCTTCTCTGAAAATGTGGGAAGATGTTAATGGCAAATACAAGCACACCACATTATCAAAGTCAACTTTGGTTATTTTTGTAAAAGTTATTGTGTGGATCAGAATGAAAAGTCCACATGTTCTGTTTTGAAGAAATTTATCTACTGCAGATATCTACCGGCTTGCTTTCCATTCGTTATATGTCAGCCTTTTGCCAATGAATAAAATTGTTCCAGAGGAAAGCATTGAAGAACATTATGACAAACAACAACTTGTTGAAAGAATCCAATAATATACTACTTAAGCTGCTCTTATTAGCATTTTTTTCAATAAAATAAAATGAATATGAGACAGAAGGCCATCAAATATTCCTGAATTTTCCCCATTACACACATTTTGTCATCAAATCCCTACCCCCCCTGCAAACACTATACTTTAGCTGTTGAATTTTGCCAGCGTTTTAAAATATCTAAGTGTCGTGTTGGACCTGTTTCCAAAGTTCATTATCAACTGAAGTACAATATGAAATGCAGTTATGAAATGATCAAATCATACCAACATTTATGGAGGAATTTATGCTGGCACTCAATTCACCTTTGATGTGGGCAGAAACTGACGACAACTCTAGCAAGAGTCCACTCCACACCTTCAAACTATACCTGAAGTGATTATAACTATATCACATTCCTGAAGACGAAACCTGAGCAATGCCAGTTTACATGCCTGACTCCATGAAATGAACAAATAAATTACTTTCAAACCCTGTCCCATTATAAGGCATTAAAAGGGGAAGTCAACAGAGGACGGTGTTAATTTTATGAAAACATGTTGAGTAGAGGTGGTCAAGCTACAGGATTGCCAACGCAATGTCAGGAAAATTAAGTGCTTTAAAATTCCAAGATAAAGGTCTATTACTGGATCCAGTTACTGGCGGCACACAATGAATAAAAAACAAAGGACATTCATATAATGGCGTTGGATGACCCAAGTTAAGAGTAGACAATCAAGTTTGCATCCAATTTCTGCTGGTATCAGATATAATTGAAATGTAGAATTGAGCGTAAGAGGATACCCAAAAAAGGTCAGTGATTTGAAGACCCAGCAAGATGACTGCAAAGGAAACTATTTTTATTTATTCACATATATTTAACGAGTATCAGGCAAAGGAAACTTCCCATCCTGAGTACAGCATTTGCTGCAGAAAAATAGCCATATGATGCCTATTTACAAAAAAAGATTAATAAGACGGGTGGTCTTAATTAACTGTTGGTTTCAAAGTGCATATTTGTGCCGGGCAAAATATCAGTTAAGTCTATGGAGATCTACGGAATGAGACGTTTTATGTAGCGTAACAGCAAAGAAGTTAACCTTGCTGATTGGCCCCGACACTGGGTGTTAAAAGTGCATGCCTGTGTCTTAACACGGGTGGCCCCAGTACTGTGCATTACAGATACACAATTACATGTACATAAACAATAGCGAAACCTGTTTTGTTTTAGGCTGGGGTCAATGGGCTACACCATATTGGCTAATGACATCAGTTGGCCATTTTGAATTTAAACTGACTTTTAGACAGAACATCACAAATTGTGATGAAACAAAAGGCTATTTTCTCAATATACAAATTTAAAACCAGCAATATGGCTGGTTTTTTTTTTACATCCAAGTACGTTTGAACTGTTCACTGAATAGCCCCTATTTTGTTGCTGTTTCTCCATAAAGCGCAATAGCTGAATTATATACATTATAATGCCAGATTTATTAGTACATTCGGAACAGCAAAACCTGTTGTGTCATATCCAGGGATCTTTGTTCTGGTAACTCAAAATATGCCTAGAATTTGGAAAAAGAAAAATTGATCATCTTGTTAGGTCTGTAAAGTTGGAAATGTTCACTTTCAACAAAACCATTTTTTCATATACAATTATCAGCATTCTGCACATCAAATTTCTGAAGTAGATACAGGATTATTTGATTCAACTGATATTTTGGAATTAGGACAAGAAGTGATTTTTGTAGATAACAGTCTTTATCAGTACTTACATGTATTTTTCACCAAGTATTTTTCAAGAACATTGCATCTGCATTTACAGTCGGGGAAAAATTGACATGAGAGCTGAAACAATAGTTTTTGTCAGCAGCTGTTTTTGCATGTTGACAACTGTTGAAACTTTTGAGAACATTTTATGCATCAATTACTTCATACATGCGTTTGCATAGTTAATACTGACTGGTAGACTTGTGGTTTTTGTGGGTCAGTGTTTTGGCAGAACTTTTAAAAGTATGATTGCACAATTAACATAATTTATGCATTCGTAAGTTTATTCAAAATTTCACAGTTTATTCAAAATTTCTCATTTTTATTGACGAAACTGGAGGCAAAAGTTAAAATTCAAGAACAATCTTACCAATTGCGACTTCAATGCTGCCAGCTTCAGAAAAGTGATGAAACTTGATGAAAGTTTAAATGTATGTTCCAAGAACAAACAAAAAAACAATGTTGAGTAAAGTGCTATTCAGAGATTTTTGCCAATACTTGTAGAAAAGCTATCAGAAAATCAAAGCAAGACATAGCAAATAAGTCTTGTGTAATTCATCTTGATTTATGCACAACATTTTCCCTATGTGTCTTTGGTACCAACTAAATGAACAATCTTGACACTTGTTTTCCAAAGCACTAGTACCTGGCAATCAGTACAACATATCAGTCTGCGGGATTAAAACATGGATCCTGAAAGCATAACAACTCAAAGCAAATCTCCATTTCATGGAAAATCACTGAGGAAAATCACTACAGTTGATTCCAAGGAATTTGCAACGACTGGGACTTATATGGCAGTAATTCAAAGAATTTGCAGTTTTCCATGTTTCCAAAGTAATTTAAGTGCGAGAAGAGCAAAAGAAGCTTGCGCATTAATTTGTGCACTTTCATAAATTTCTCTATACTGCTCATGCTGCTATCAATTACACACGGAAATCAATGGCTGCTGAGAAGATGTAGCCAAAGGAAATCACATACCAACAAGTTTGCAGTTTCAACTTTGGCAGCTTGAATGGAAAGTGAGACATTTTCAAGTGAGACACCTCATTCATTGCCTCAAGATCAGAAAGGAAAGCAGTGAGCAGGAAATTTGGCGGCCCAAAATTCCAGACTTTTCGATGGGCGGAAATTTCTTGTCCCCCACTGCAGGCAGGCAGAAGAAGCAGGGGAGTATACCTGTTCCATGCTGCGAAGGAGGCTGAGTTTCCAGACTATGGAGCCTGTCCTGGAACCATCAGTGAGTGTTGCACACTCAGTAGTACTCCTTAGTTGTGTTCTAAAGCACTTGGAAAAGTATATGTTTACACAGTAGTTTGCCATTGTTTTAGAACTGGCTGTAGTGACTTCTATGTTTAACATTCATTCCAGTAATACTGTATCTGCAACAGTATGTTTTGTTTTCCTAGATTTTTAATTGAAATAGAAGTAAAGACATGCTTTTAGAGATAGTAAGTACAGGTGTACATTGCTTTGGAGCAAGAAAAAGATAGTGTGGTTAACAGTTTTTGTTTCATATGTTAATTAATTTTCAACACTGTATGGCTCAAGTCGATTGAGTGCAATTCTCACGACTGAGCCTCAGCATCATAGTCGTAACGACAGTTCAATAAAAACTTCCAAAGCTTTCCTATTGTGTATTGTGGTGTTCTTGATTCCACTGATGTTAACTACGTCATCCTAAATAGGGTTAAAAGGTACATGTATCTGAAGAAACTCATTTAAACCTGAATAAAACAACAGCTGTGCTAGCTAGGCACACACAAAACATAATTGTGCCAAACCCACAATCAAGACTAATCTTGGTGCAATAAATATAATGTCTTAACATTCCTGATGACATTTTACTGATGAAGTTTGCACCGCAAATAAAGCCCTATTGTGTATCCTGTAAACTAATAAAGTATTGGTCTGTTTCAAGAGCCAAATTGGTCTTTACAAGACATAAAAGGGGTTAGAAATACTAAGTTCTGTTTTACTTGATTAACAACATCAGTGTGTCAATACAGTAACTTGAGTAAGGTTGCACAGTCAGAAAATTGAAATTAAAAAACTATTGACCCATGAAATCTTTGTGTGGAATAAATAATTGGAAGCATAAGGTTAATGCTTAGTCCATCTCCAAGCAAATGATGTTTTGATTTTCTTTATGATGATAGAATATGGCAGGATCATGAAGGGCAAGAATCCCTCAATATCTGCTTGGAGATGGCCACAGTGTGTTACCCGCAATACTGCCCCCCTCCCCCATTGGAACTGTCTAATAGATGCAACAAAGATGAAATCTGTAAAACTCAACGGAAGGTAATTGTATTATAATGCCTAGTGTCGAGCACTTATCAAGGAAGTTATATGTGAAGATTTCTTTCTGCTGTGTTTTTCTAAACGTAAGTTAACCTGGATTGTTACAGTTAAGATGTGTACTTTGGGATAAACTATAGAAAAGCAGAGAGGGGGGGGGGCAATCTGCACACGAGATATCCCTGCTGCCAAGGGCCTAGGACGGTCACAGCTCCAGTAATCTGACGTAATAGTTCGCCAGACTGAGACAGTTTACGCCAAACCTTTGGTGCAATTCGCAACCCATTAATGCATTACGGTAACGTCACACGAAAATAAGCCATCAATACCCCATACATTGTACTTTGGCAACTGGCCAACACGAATAGCCATGTTCAAATAAATTCACTCTTTGAAGAAACGTACACGATATTACAAAGCCCTGGTTCATACTTAAGTGATCACAGAATGGCTCTACATGAGTACATTAGTAGTTCAAGTACTGTACATTAGTATACATGTAACGTTACTTTAGGACTGTACATTAGGTTCCATGTTGAAAATTGTGCATGTACGAAGTGCGCGATTCATGAACATTGCATATTGAAACAGCAGGGACAGAGTTCGTAAGGGCGCTGTCTCAAACCGTGTGATGTCGTACGTTCGCAAACTGAGGGCAATGTCGTACGATCGATGTCGTACGATCGCAAACTGAGGGCATTCTCGGGATATATAGTTGTGTATATGTCCTACGAAGTTCATTCAGATGTCTTGTTACCGAAAAGGCTAGCTTAGATCGGCAGTCGGGTCTGCAACAGCCTGCTAAGACATCAAAATGGTACGAAACCCTACGGCTACGACGAATTGCGTTGTATATATGTGTCGGATGATGCAAGGCCCTTCAATTTTGTAGTAAAACCATTGGGTGGAGGCCTCAGGCGTTTTACCATCTACGTAATTTCAATGACAACATTTGCTATGTAAAGTTGCATTGCGATAAAAAAATATGTACTTAAACAACAGAAAGCTATATTTATAGATATAAATACAAATATGGGGTTAGAGGTGAGTTCCGTACTGCTTATAACTTAAGTCGAACTGGACGAGTCTTCAGTACTAGCCACCAGTCGACTATCCAGAACAACCTGAACTTTTCCGCCAAGATGTGGACAACAGTCTTGCTTGTCTTTGCCGTTTGGGCAGGTAGGGAATTTCGTTTATTTGGTCTTTAAATTGTTCTTCAATTTGCCAAGAGGAGCAAATAATTAAACTTGTTAAACAATTCTGCGGAACTAGATATTAAAAACATTAATAGGCATGCATGTTGACATGTGCAAGATAAAAAAAGGGGGCCAAGTTGGATGTTTTAGTGTTAAGTTTTAAAGATGGCAGGCATCACGTTAGTATTGGTCGTCTAAAACTGGTTGGGTGTAGATTAATGTTTTCATTGTGTTTTTACAATCATTTCTAACGTTTATACTTGCTTGTGTCACCGTTCGTGCAATGACATTATACTATATAATGTCCTTGGTTCGTGTAAAAATAAGTGAGTACCTGAGATCCAAGAAAAAACGAGCAAACCAAGAAAGGTACTCGAACAGCAACATTTGAGGACGCATATGTTGATATCTTTGGATACAACGTAGACACATATCCGCCCCTCCATTCTCGTGATGTAGATTATATCATATCCGGTCAACTTTCCATTTTTGTCCACATTATTTGCCCAAAGCTCACATGATTGTTCAACTACCAACAGACAAATACATACTATATTTGTCAAGACGTTGAACGACGTTATAGACCTAGCAGAATTAGGACTAGTCTCATTTTTTTTTTAAATTCAGCCTTCTGTTTCATTCTCGTGATGTAGATTGTATCATATCCGGTCAACTTTCCATTTTTGTCCACATTATTTGCCCAAAGCTCACATGATTGTTCAACTACCAACAGACAAATACATACTATATTTGTCAAGACGTTGAACGACGTTATAGACCTAGCAGAATTAGGACTAGTCTCATTTTTTTTTTAAATTCAGCCTTCTGTTTCATCTTTTATTTTTGAAAAAGCGACTATCAGCATAAGACGTCCTTAAGGTTATTTTGGCGTAACGTTGATTCTATTAGACTGTGGTTCAAATATTGATGAATGTATTTAGAACGTACGAAAGACCAAGTGCTTATCGATCTATGGTTCAGCTGTTCTCGTCTGTAGATTTCTCACAGGCCGGATCAAGCAAGGACACCAGCAGACAGTCTTTCTGATTGATTGCAATTGGTAAATATAACAAGCTAATCAGAGTGACGCAGAGAATTCATTTCTAAATGTTTGCCCTAAAAGATTACGGAGCTGTGGAGAAGGATGATTCTGTTCGTGGGTTTTGGTGTTTAGAATGTGGACAGTATTAAGGAAACAGTCACTTTATTTCAAGTGTCCTTTCGGAAAATCTTAAAGAAAATTAAAAGGGCTGCTCTTCTTCGGCAGTTTAAAAGTATTTAAGAAGGGGGAGGGGGGCATGGAATGAATTTGGGAAAGGGTGGGGTAGACTAGTAGTTCAGACAGATGTAACCTTACCGGGTCGCGTCTGTGGTCTGATGACGTCAGGTACCCTCCCATCTTTGCTTTGGACCACGTAATGCACATCCAGCCAATCACGTAATGACGTACCCGTTTCCTTGACGACCGTGCAGTTTCCGACGGAAACCCGCTGTCGGGTTACCAGAACGACCCGGTTTTTCCCGAGGAGGTTCAGCGGATCATCGGCGGGAGCGCGGCTTCCCTCGGGAACTTCCCCTGGCAGGCTCGGCTCGACGGTAAGTACGCATTTTACAGTAGAAAAACGCACAGAATGTCCCCAAAACACTCTACTACCAGCCACACTCATCTGCTTGGAGACTCATGCAAAACTTATTTTTATGGATTGCACTTCAACGTATTGAGTACTAGTACAAACATGTATTTCGAACGTATTACTTATGTGATGCTACAGCTTGTTTCCGAAAGTTAGAGGATAGGCATCGATACCAGGGTAGCACGCACTCTTTTAAAAAAGTTGCAACTATAGTCTTGAAACTATATGTAGCCAGCTATAGGGCGTAAATGGCAATGTATTATAATTGTTCTTAGACAGTGGTCTAAAATCGGTACATACATTGTCAAACCTCTTTATTATAAGCAGACTTGAAAGCAATGTTGATATTTTCCCCTTGTCTGATTGCCAGGTCCCCTGCTGTGTGGAGGGACTCTGGTCCATGCGCAGTACGTGGTGACGGCGGCTCACTGCTTCTTTTATCAAGGGTTGGTTCATACCTCTTGTTTGTTTGTGGATGTGGCCGAGCTAGTAATCATAGACTCAGTTACAACTACCTTTAGATGCAGGAGGTTATCTAAATGTACTAATCTTAATGCTCCCCCAAACGTTTTGTATAAGGACTGCAACCCTGTACCAAGTAACGGCCCTGTCCTTGGTGCTGAACACGTTTCACAGTCACGGAAAGATACTTTCCCACTCCAAAGCTTTGATGCGTGTTAATGTTTGTCGATGACAGGACTGACTACACGAACCCTGGTTACTGGACCATCCGGCTGGGTGAGATCTACCCGAACTCTCACGAGTCTACGGAACAGGCCATCCCCGCCTCCAGCGTCACAGTGCACTCCGGATACAACCAGTGGGCCACTCCTGACTACGACATCGGTACGGGCACCGTCACACACTCTTATCATGAATTACAGGTTTGCGATAGCAAAGGCAAAAACCTGTATTGTTTTCGTCGGCCTCCATGGGCGCAGCCATCTTGCTTTTTGACATTTAATAGGATACTAGTATGCTGGTGCCATTTCCTTAGATTTTAGATATACTTAAAGGCCTGTACGTTTACGCTATATACTTATGTCGATATTTTACTCTGATAAATGATGATGATATATAGTTCACAAAAGAAATTAAAAGGTTTGTTCCAACACAAATTCAGTAACTCACCACTCACCACTGGTACCCTAGATTCTTAGATTCAGATTGACAAACTTTTGCATTTCACAGTTAACAAAAGATACAACAAATTGCAAAGTGATACGGCCATTTCTTGAGTTACTCTTGCAGTAACAAATGTTGCCAATTCAATCAAACATAGTACATAAAAATACAGCATGTTCTGACATGTTTTACCGGTGTCTCTCCCAGCCGTTATCCGTCTCCGCCATGCCGCTACCATTAACAACTACGTCAGTCCCCTCAGTCTGCCGAACTATGACGCACCGGACGGTACCAGCTGTGTGGTCAGTGGGTTCGGAGACACCACTGGTCAGTGCATCTTTTATTCTTTCATACATCTGGTCCGTTGGCCTGACTCTGGACTTGGCAATGATGGCTTTTTCACGTTAAAAAATGAAATACGCCAGACACTTGGAATCTTTATTCCTCTGTTAATCTATATCTATGTACATAGATATGTTACGACATTAACACAGCAATATACAACATAGAATGACTTTATAAGGCAAGCTGTATGTAAGACAATACAGAAACCCTAACATCATTGGAAAATGACAGTTTACATGTACATGTACAATGACAGCATAGCAGACATAGCTCACGTATTTTGCCGAACCAAGGAGAAAGCTTCATTTATTACACAATGATTTTTGCTATGAAACCTTTGGCAAAACAAATGTGGTTCCACGATTAGAAATAATAGATGTGATTTTTGTGTAGCGTTTGCGCAAGTTTGAAGTAATGGGTACTGTATGACTTATTTCGCTGAAATCCCGCCTAGTCCATTCCTGGTATCGGAATGATGAGAACTTTGTTCTGTCCCAGGAAACGGTAACCTGGCAAGCCGGCTGATGTACGTGTACGTGCCGGTCATGAACAGGAACACCTGTAACTACTACATGAACGGCGCCATCACCAGCCGTATGTTCTGTGCAGGCTTCTCCAACGGCGGCAAGGACAGCTGCCAGGTATGTTTGACCTAACGATTGTGTTACCATTGGAAAAAAAGGGACCCACTGGGTAGTTTAATTTAAGGGTTTATCTTTTCATTTTCGGATGTGTTCCAGTTGGATTCTTCTTGGCTGCCGGGCTCTTTTTTGCTAACCTCTACCAGGCTTCGGAGAGTAGGAATCGGCCAAATAGAGAGATAATTTGCCGCGTATTTCTAGCCGACTCCCGAAGCCTGGTAGAGGCTTCTTTTTTTGTCACGACCGGGCCCCAAGCAGAATTCTTTTGGGGCAGGCTAGACACTATAGTAACGAGCCAACTGTTTTCAGGCTGGCCAACTATAGCTGTTATAGTGTCTGTTCTCCAAAGAAATCTTGCTTGGAGATTCGGGCCCTCGGATCTTTGAAAGTGGTAGTAAAAATCAACCCGGTGACCTGCACATGGTAGCACGAGGGAAAATTTTAATCATAGCCTGTTTGCTACAATCTTGCTCTACCTACCAACCAATGAACAAGGAAGACAATGCTCCACTACTAATAACCGTTATTTTTCATCTGCAGGGTGACAGCGGAGGCCCGTTGGCGTGCCAGTTGAGCGGAACCTGGACGTTGTCGGGCGTGGTGAGCTGGGGCAACGGCTGCGCTCTGGCGGGCAACCCGGGCATCTACACCCGCGTCACCCAGTTCAGGAGCTGGCTGTCACAGCACACGGGATATGCCATATAATCACTCGGCAGCAAGAACTGCCAACTGCCCTCAGTTCTGTAAAGTTGTAGTCAACCGAGCTTGACAAGTTTTTTGTCCTCTCAGGAAAGTCCTTGGAAAGGAGAGGGCACAATAAAAGGAAGCAATGTCTTTTCATGTATGAAACGTTGGGCAACACACAATTTGCTTCGATGTTTTGTACAACACTATACAAAATAAACAGTGTCAGTCAAATGAATTGGTTGTGATGAAATTTCCGTGGGTTGTATTTTGCTTTAGTGATAACATGATTACCGTATGTGTTTTGTGCGAGTTGGACAATTGTACAACAGAAAAGGACGTCAGACAACCACAATGCACAATATTGATAGTTTACATAATTACAGTGCAATTCTCATTTATCGAAGGACGCCGGCGCTCCCATAATTGCCCCTACAAAAATAATTTTGAACGGTACGTTAATTAAGTTTGGAAAATTACGTAAAAATGTCTGTACCATTTTTCAAAAAGACGAGTACATTTGACACATCTGACCAATCTTTGATTAAAGGACGTTAATGAACACTCAAAATGTCGGTAAACCACTCTGATAAAGCGGGGTGTTCCGACGTTGTTTACCCGTACCGGGCCCTGTGCAAACACGATACCAATGTCCACCTACTCAGGTAAACGTTAGTATGATGAGATCTACATTTACATACATCAAAACGTGATTTTGAGATCAGTTGACCGCTTCCAGTTATTGCAACATTGGACTTTCAGCTAACTGATTTGCGATGGACTAGCTTAGTCTTGGTCGGAAAATTAACTTAGATAAGTAATAACTTTATTGCAAAACAATGGTATATATTGTGCAGGGTACAAGTATGGCATCTACGAACTTTCACCCGCTGCCCACAGTTCACTCAACCGGTAGTTACGTATTAACTAAAAAGCAGAACTTTCAGAGTGTCAGACTCACGTGTACGTGTACAAGACCGCCATCTTGGGGTGGGTCGTACACAGCTGAACTCGTCATGTTTTCCATCGAGTAGAGACAGAAACAGGTTCAAGTGCAGGTGAGTTCTATCATATCTATTGTTAGAGATGCATGAGATGATTTTCAATATTTGTTTATTAAAATTTTCCACCAGATACGTGGAAGGGGAGGGAGGTCAGGTGAAGTACCTTTTCTAGCACCCTCCCCAAATTACATCATTACAAAACATTGAAAAACAATATTGGAATTATACACATTATACATGCACGTAGTACATAAAGATATACATACAATAGCGCAGACCTAAGTATAACACCAGTCAGCTATGTATGAAGCATCTGCAAGCCGAAGACCATGTACATGTACATATAATTTCTGTATCAAAGTTAACTGAAACCTGTTGTTTACTGGCCCGTTTGAATTGCAAAATGCAAGACTGACTTGATGCTGCAAGATCCTAACTGGCGTTTCTAGTTTAATCCATTCAGCCACTAGGCGGGGAATATACGACATTGCAGACGTAGATGTTTTGCAGCGACTGGGAATTAGCATGTAAGACCTACTGCTCCAATTCGCAAGTTAGTCTAGTGGAGAATGATACATAGTTTTGCATCTTGCAAATTATTGGCCAGGGGCTTCACAAAAAGCATAAAGCAATCCTGTGCAAAAGCGGTAGCAGGTTGAGATACTGTAATCTGCCTTTATGGTCGGTCTCTGTTCGGTTCAGAATTCGTAAACAAAACTATAGACAGTTACGTCTCATGATACTATTATCATTGTAACCCCTTCAATTTCAAATGGCCAGACCCCAGGTACAGGCCAGGCTCAGGGTGAACCGGCGATCAGGGTCTATTATAAACTGAGGGGGGTGGGGGTGGCTATGGTATAATTTTCTTGGTTTCATGTTGGCCCCGGAGCGGAGGAACTGTCCCTGCGGTAACAGTCTGACGCACAGCTTATTGTAGCTGGGTACAAAGGTAACTAATTCTAGTTTAATCTGAAGAATATCATTTTGCAAAGTAGATTTGCAAAGCAAGCACAGATATCGTGTCAGAAATATTAATAATTTTTTTTACTTTTATATGACAGATGTCCAGAGCAACATCCTGCCATGGACGATTTTATAGGGGCTGTGAGGAGGGGAGACGTACAGACCGTGAGGAGGAGTCTTCAGGCCGGGAGGAACGTCAATAAGAAATTGGATGATGTAAATGCAGATTATGAGCGCTTTGCCAATTGGTTTTAGGATGTTGGTGTTAGCTTTCACATTTTTGCCACAATTCTTCCCGGACGAAACCGCTGATGAGCTATTACGAAATTTCAGAAACAACTCACTAATGTTATAAGCAGTTTGTATTTTAGTCCTGTGTCAGCATTAGTGTATAATTGAAGTCTATTTTTTATTCCAAATAACAGACAGATTGTGAGATAATGATAAACCTGATTGTGGTAAATGACATACATGTATCAATCATTTTATCCGATATACAATTACAAAAACCCAAGTTGGTGTGATTTTCAACAAGATTTTTCAGGAAACTACACACAAAATATACACTTCTCAAATGCATGTTCCAGAAAATGAAACTTGCTAAAAATTAAAATTCTATTTTTGCTTACCTTGAGGGCCGATTTGAGTGGTTGATGGTTGAGAAATAGTTACTTTCCTGAGAATATGATCTAATTTCCTGACTTTTAGTTTATGGGGCCCATCAGCCACGTACGGCAGGGGTTTAGTTCAGTTTAGTAGGAACTTTTCAACTGAGTCTACGAAAGTTGTTATGTACTATCTTATGCAATCTTATACTATCTTATACATACCTATATGTGACAAAGTAAGTTAAGGTTTAAAGTGACGGATAGCCATAACGGTTTTATAGCTTTTTCAAACATTATGCTCATGGCATATAATTGTCAACTTTAAAAGCAGTTACTTCTTAAACTAAAAATTCTATCTTGCCGTCCTTGAAGGCCCGCTTACATATCAACCAATGTGCAGCAGCGTTATAGTCTCTCCGCGTGTTTACACAGCTTGGTTGGACCGCACTCCACCGGGCCAGCGAGAACGGGCAGACTGGGGTAGTGGAGCTGCTGATTCAACATGGCGCTGATTTGGAGGCGAGGAACAAGGTGAGTACAGACAGTCATCTCCTGTAGTTAGGAATAAGGGACAATTATGACGGTTGAGTAATAGCTACTACTATCTCGAGAATGTTTCATGGACTTCTAATTTATGGGGCCCATTAGCCACGTACGGCAGGGGTTTAATTAAGTTTAGTAGGAACTTTTCAACTAAGTCTACGAAAGTTGTTATGTGCTATCTTATGCAATCTTATACTATCTTATACATACATTGTACCTATATGTGACAAAGTAAGTTTAGGTTTAAAGTGATAGATAGTCATCACGTTTTTATGGCTTTACATACTAGGCTCATGGCATATCATTGTCAACTGTAAAAGCAGTTACTTCTTGAAATAATATTCTATCTTGCCGTCCTTGAAGCTCCGCTTATACTAGCCAATGTGCAGCAGCGTTATACTTTCTCCGTGTGTTTACACAGGATGGCGAGACCGCACTCCATTGGGCCAGCATGTACGGGCAGACTGGGGTAGTGGAGCTGCTGATTCAACATGGCGCTGATTTGGAGGCGAGGGACAAGGTAAGTACAGACAATCATCTCCTGTAGTTAGGAATAAGGGGCAGTTGATGATCTTTGAGAAATTACCTACTACCCTAACAATATTCTCTGATTTCTTGCCTTTTTGAGCCCATCAGCTATGGCAGGGATTCGAGTTTGGCAGGAACGTTTCAAATCTATATTACATGTATGTCTCTTATGTATACACATGTGTTCATAGCGTTCTTATATAAATGTATAGGCTCTGTATATGTTCCTGTCATATCATTCTTAAACTAAAAATTCTATCTTAGAAATTCTTTAGGGTCTGTTTGAACCAACCAATGCGGAGCTTTCTGGTTTCTCCGTGTGTTTAACACAGGTTGGACAGACCGCACTCCATTGGGCCAGCGGGGCCAGGCAGACTGGGGTAGTGGAGCTTCTGATTCAACATGGCGCTGATTTGGAGGCGAGTGACAAGGTTAAAGTACAGACAATCATCTCCTGTAGTTAGGATTAAGGGACAATAAATGATGGTTGAGAGATAGCTACTATCCTGAGAATATTATCTGATTTCTTGACTTTTAAGTCATGTTAAGGCCCATTAGCAGGGGTTAGTAGGAACTTTTCAACTCAGTCTACGAAAGTTGTTATGTATCTTATGTAATGTATACATACCTATATGCATGTGAGAAAGTAACAAAGTTTAGGTTTAAAGTGATGGATAGCCATAATGTTTTTAATAAATATATTTTTTAATACTATGCTCATGGCATATGATTGGCACCTTTTAAAAGTACTAAATACTTCTTAAACTAAAAATTGTATCTTGCCGTCCTGGAATGTCGGCTTATATATCAACCAATGTGCAGCAGTGTTATAATAGTTTCTCCGTGTGTTTACACAGGTTGGTCAGGCCGCACTCCATAGGGCCAGCAGGGACGGGCAGACTGGGGTAGTGGAGCTGCTGATTCAACATGGCGCTGATTTGGAGGCGAGGAACAACGTAAGTCCAGACAATCATCTCATGCGTGTGTAGTTAGAATTAAGGGACAGTTAATGATTGTTGAGAAATGTCTACACATCTTTGAATGTTGTCTGCTCTGTTGGCTTTTAGGGCCTGAAAATGCATTAAGCAGGGGGTCAATTTAAAGTTTCAGGTTCCCTAGTTTAATGATTGGTGCTGCTGTGGTGCTGCTGTAATAAAAGCTCAATTCAATTGCAATTCCTTTAACCTATGCCAAGCGGGAAAAAACTACACAAGATGTCTATTACATTTTAACTGATCATGAGACGACAGGTGCACACTGTCCTAGTTATTTTTGGTTGCATGCATATGTACTTGAAACACAAAACTTGTAAGGATAGGGACACAAATTTTGTATAAGGTTATGCTCTTTTCTTTACGCCATACAGTTTGGCGGAAACCAATAGACTACGTGCATGACCAAGACCGCCGACGTTTCCTAAAGGTTAGTAAAGGATTGTAGTGATGTTCTAAGAATGTAGACCATTTCAAAGAATGTAGACCACGTTGTCAGCATTCATACTTGAGCCTACTGCAAACAATCTTCCTATAAGGTTTTGACATCACAATACAATCATATGATTCATGATTATGGGCGAACAGGTGCCTATTCTGGTTTTTCTTAATGAAGAACGGCTGAAGAAATATGAGAAAGACTGCATAGATTTGATGTGATTTATTGAAATTGCAACAGTGCAATACACGTGGGACACAGGCAGCTGGTGTTGTGTCTCACACATAAAAACGAATAATGGACAGACAATAATCATTTTCACTTGAGCTTAGTGGGGAATGTCGTGTAAAAGTGCCTTTCCCAAGGGCACAAGATTGGTGGCATGTCAGATATCGAACCCGGGACCTCTTGGTTCCGAGTCGGGCACTCTGCCGTTGCGCCACACGATGTTACATACTGCATATTTTGATGATGAATGCTAAGTGGTTACATTAATCATCCAGAACCTGGCTACTGATGTTTCCTATCACAAACTGATGAAACAGTCCGGTGGGGAGAAAGTCGACAGGTTCAAACTGTGCCTCTGTGGACCACAGGAAGCTGGCAAATCTACTCTGATGGAAAGTCTGCAGACGGTACGACTATTAGAGTTTCAGTCTATTGAGAACAATGCTAATTAACGAAATGACATATCCAAAACACAAAGATACAGAATCGGCTACGTTTACACTTAAAGTGCATTTTTGTTTGCATACATGCAAGATTCTAGATCTGCAATTGTCAGAATACACAACAGTAAACTGTTACTATTTCTCATCTATTTGCAATTCCTGTGCACATGATTCAATGGTATATTTCTTATTAAATATTTCATAATTTTGTGATCATGTAGGGACCTTTCGTCGCCTTATTCTGGGATCGAATGCCTTCAGGCAATCGGCCACACGAGCCCACCCCAGGTGTCAATGTGGGAACAACCTACATTCCCGGTGTGGGGCAGGTCAGTGTGTGGGACTTCGCTGGACAGTCGGAGTACGCGGTAACCCATACCATGTTCATGGATGCAGAGAACACCATCTTCATTGTGATGTACAACATCATGGACGATATCCACACACAGAAGAAAAAGGTGACTAAACGATCATGTTTTACATAAAGACAAAACTGCTCTATAATGTATCTCAATTGGTTTCGATAGTAACTCATCTGTTTGTCACAGGTCCACTGGTGGCTGTGCTTCATCAAGTCCTGCAACACAAAGAGTGAGCCTAACATCATCCTAGTGGCCAGTCATGCAGACCAGACTGATACAGGTAGGCTATGTTACATCACAATACATGCCATGTATTCACTACGTACTACAAAGACTGTCTACAGAGCAATTGAAAAGGTATTCAGACTCAGGCAAGAGGTTTCAGGGCACTATGCCCTCCCAAAATATTTCGGCTACTCATTTACATACGTAGTACATGTTGTTTTTTTCATCAGGACATCATCATGCATCTTCCATCCTTGAGCTGATGAAGTCGGAGTTCAAGGGTCATCTAAACATTTCAGATGAAGTGTTCCTGCTTGACTGCAGGGTAACCCGTCAACCCGACATGTGGCGTCTTAAAGAGCACTTGACAAAACTGAAGACCCAGCTTCTAACAGTGAGTTGTGTTCTAATGCAACATTACTAGTCTAAACATCTGGCAATAGAATTACATTTTTCTGTCAACAATTCTATTGTATAGTTACCTAAACTACCAGACGGATTCTAGTATCTATATGTCTATTCTAGTATCTAAGATATTACTGCCATTACTGTATACGTAGTGCAAAACTTGTTGCAAATGACGATGTATTTGATTTTGACAAATTGCAAATGTATCCATAGTCGCTTGATCATCTATTGTAAAACTATACCCAACGGCAGCCCGTAACTGTTTTATTTAACTGTGTAGCTTCAGCGAGCCATTCCCAAGCTGTGCGCTGAGATCATGAAGTGCCTGCCAAAATGGGCTGAGGAGAAGTGCAACCCGAATTGTCCTGTCTTGCAATGGGCAGAGTACAAGGAGGCGGCGAAGGAGATCGACCGCTTTGTCGATGAGGATTTCCTGAAGACGTCTTCACGGTACTTGGATCATCTCGGAGAGGTGAATATCTTCTTAGCTCTCAGAATATGATATGCCATTCGCATTTATTTATAACATCCTCGCCAGTATGCACGTAAGCGATCGCCAGCAGCATGCAATCTCTATGCTCAAGTACATCAGTGTTGCTATTGGTCAGCTACTAGTTTCAACCAATCTGAATCTCCCTGCTAATACATGTATCTCTGGTTGAGTATCAAAGTGCAGTTTTCGTCGGTTCTTACGACCAGATTACATATAGATATAAATCATTTGTAGTTAATCGATGTTACTATCAAATTAATTACAGGAGAACTGATACAATTCAATGAAACATTTGTAATTGACTCATCAGTTTAGATCATTAGACATGAACCCATGGAATTCTTTGTATGTTATTTCAGATCTTGTTCGTCCCAACACCAAACGCCGACCCCATCATTGTCCTGAAGCCCAACTGGCTCTGCACCGATGTCTTCGGCAAAGTGATGGCACCAAGAAACTTCCCCATCCAACATCTTAGAACCGTCGACGATGTTGTCACGAAAGAGGAAATCCAGAAGGTGTTCAAAGATGTCGCCGACGTCGATCTCCTGATCACGCTGCTGCAAGAGTTCCAGCTCTGCCACTCCTTTGACGGACAGAAGTTCATCATCCCCGGGCTGCTGACCCAGACCATGCCTCCAGAGAAGTGGCAGCCGACCGCGAACCCCACCAAGACCGTGTACTTCGGCAAGCAAGTCCAGTGTGCCGACATCACCGACATGTTCTCCTCCGCGTTCTTCCCCCGTGTGCAGACCCGCCTGATGAGGGAACTGAAAAAGCGCCCGCTGCTGTGGAGAGACGGAGCCAAGTGTTTCGACTCCAACGTGGAAGGCCTCATCAAGCTTTCCCCAGACGGCAGTGCGGTCAACATCTGCGTGCGAAGCGAGCAGGGCGACAAGCCGAGCTGCCGGCAGATGCTCGAGACGATAGAGAACATCCTGACCAACGTGCTTGAGGAGTGCAGCCCTGGCACCAATACCGAGAAGAGGGTGCTCAGCGCTCGTGCACTGAGGGAACACAGAGAAGACATCTACTCCTACAGCATGGACCAGATCAACAAGGCCAAAGAAGAGGACGGCCTCGTCTATCACGACATCCTCGGCTTCTCAGAAGACGTCAATGACCTCCTGTACGGCGGAAGAGACGACGATGAACAGGAGCAAGGAGCTGTTGGAAACACGGTCCAACAGACGTTCGAATTCGTGTCCGGGACTGGTAACGTTGTTATCAGGGCAGGTGATCATGCTCACTTCGACATGGCAAGAATCATGCAAGGTAACCTGGGACAGCTACAGTTGGGGGGAAATGAGCCTGGTGACCTTGGACAGCTACAGTTGGAAGGAAATGACCCTGATGGCCTTGGACAGCTACAGTTGGAGGGAAATGAGCCTGGTGACCTTGGACAGCTACAGTTGGAAGGAAATGAGCCTGGTGACCTTGGACAGCTACAGTAGGAGGGAAATGAGCCTGGTGACCTTGGACAGCTACAGTTGGAAGGAAATGACCCTGATGGCCTTGGACAGCTACAGTTGGAGGGAAATGAGCCTGGTGACCTTGGACAGCTACAGTTGGAAGGAAATGAGCCTGGTGACCTTGGACAGCAACAGTTGGAAGGAAATGACTCTGATGACCTTGGACAGTTACAGATCGAGGGAAATGAGCCTGAGGGTGAAATGCATGAATGAGGCATTACTAAGCTTTGAATACATTTGTCAATGATGAATATGTATATTTTATATGGGTGAGAGAATTATGTACAGTTATAAGAAGTATACTCACAGTTTCATAAAATGTCAAGTTCTCCAGCTATTGTTAGTGTTATGTTAATGTTACCATTATGAAGTCATTAATTCAGTCTGAATATTGAAACCCTCATTGGTGAAACAGAGCCTGATCTAAGCCAAGCTGAATCATTCAGTACTCTCCATCATACAATTACAGTAGTTCGTAAGAACTATCTCTGGTAAAGTAAAGGATCATAGAAAATGAAACACTGTCAGTCAAAGGAGTAGGTTGTGAAGAAGTTGTGTGGATCAATGTGTTTTACTTTAGTGATATCTTAACATGGTTACCATATGATAAGTGTTTTGTAAGAGTTGGACAACAGAAGATCTACAACAGAAATGACACAACAATATTGCACAATATTGATACATTGTATTTTAAATACTTGCAGGAAGTTTATTGAAGGTAAAAGTAAGAAATCTTTGTCCAGAAATCAATTGTACATGTGATAAAATCAACAGAGCATAAAAGAAAATGATACAGAATGACAACTTTCTAAGATGTTTGTCCTCTTATTTTAATCAAGTCTTTCTCACCAATACCAAACAAGGCATTGATATCATTATTTTGAGTCTCTTTAGCTTATAACGCTATCATCAGTATCATAACTCTTGATGAGTGTTCGTTTTCTTTGAGGGCTTCTTTTCACTTGCTGTTGGTACTTTTTTCTCCATAGTTGATTTTGATGCATCATCTTTGGTTTCCTTGGAAACCTTTGATTTTGATGCATCTTCTTTGGTTTCCTTGGAAACCTTTGATTTTGATGCATCATCTATGGTTTCCTTGGAAACTGTTGATTTTGATGCATCATCTTTGGTTTCCTTGGAAACCTTTGATTTTGATGCATCATCTTTAGTTTCCTTGGAAACCTTTGATTTTGATGCGTCATCTTTAGTTTCCTTGGAAACCTTTGATTTTGATGCATCATCTTTGGTTTCCATGGAAACCTTTGATTTTGAGGCATCATCTTTGGTTTCCATGGAAACCTTCGACTTTGATGCATCACCTTTGGTTTCCTTGGAAACCTTTGATGTTGATGCATCACCTTTGGTTTCCTTGGAAACCTTTGATTTTGTTGCATCATCTTTGGTTTCCTTGGAAACCTTTGATGTTGATGCATCTCCTTTGGTTTCCTTGGAAACCTTTGATTTTGATGCATCATCTTTAGTTTCCTTGGAAACCTTTGATTTTGATGCATCTTCTTTGGTTTCCTTGGAAACCTTTGATTTTGAGGCATCATCTTTGGTTTCCTTGGAAGCCTTTGTTACTATAGTAACCTCTTCATCTTCATCCTCAGCTAGGAGTTCCTCCTCTTCCTCCTCCTCCTCCACCACGGCAAAGTCTGTAAATTCGTCCTCCATCAGTTCTTCTCTCCTCCTCTCTTCTTCCTTCTGTTTCTGCTTCTCCCTGAATTTGTCCTTGATTTCCTCCTTGCTGCTGTAGGAGTCATCGCTTGTCTTGTCGTCCAAGCCAGCAGATGGCTTCTTCTTACCCAACATGGCTGCCAGCTGGTCATCGATCATCTTCTTTATCTGCTCAGAGTACCTGTCCATCTGCTTCTTGCCCACATCCACTGCCAAGGCCTGTGGTTTATGAAGGGATGAACAGTAAGAGAAAAAGGAATCAAAGTCCTCTGTAAAGGTTTTGATTCTTTTTATCTGATTGTTTTCTTCAATATGTTAATGTCATAGTATCAATATCAATTATTAAGTTGAATTTCCAAGTACTTTTTTCCCTTGTGATCACTATACATGGTGTCATAAGTGGGATAAGGGCAAGTTTGGCCAAAGGCAAATCTAGCTAAGTTTAAACGTTGCTGGATAATTCAGGACAAAAGTCTCACCTCTTTGAGTTCTGCATCTTGGTCATCTGCGATCTCATTTAGGTCAAGGATCCTGTCTTGTAGTAGACCATTCAGGTCTTCCACTATCTGTATTAAAGAATAGAAAAATGTCTAAATCCAAACTTGATTTTATCAATCACATCAAGTTATTAAGATTCACAGTATCATGGTATGCTTTTTGATACAATAAACAACACACATGCAAATGAGATACACGTGCAAAGAAGCACTCTGTTGGACACATCAACAAGTTGCTATTATAATAATTTTTACTTTCAGAATGCTTTGGTGGTGTGAGACCTTCTTACCTCCCGTGTGAGATCATCCAGGTCATTATAGGCAAACACGAAATTCCCATTCTGGTCCAGCTGATCAAACATCTGTATAGAACAGTCCAAAAAAATTAATGTTAAACAGTATATAGGACTTATGAATATCTCGGCATGATGCTTCAGTTGAAGGTCACATGAAAATGTAACATAAAAATAGAGGATGACCTTGGGGTCATATGGGCACTTGAACTCTTGTATGAGTCGTATCCTTGACCATATCCGCTGTCCACTCACCTCTTGAGCCGCCTGGGTGCACTCATCTGTCCAGTTGGTCAGTTTTGATATCAGGCCATCCTGTGGTAGTCAAAGGACACATTTTATTACCTAACTGCTGCAATCAATCTTAAGCACTGAGCTTGCATACCAATGTAATGGGACAAGGGTTTATGAAAAGAGCTGGGTTGGCTTAAAACATAACAAATTTGGATATACCATATAGATGAGAAAAGTACTTTGCAACCTGAAAAATGTATCAAAACAAAACAATTTAATTGTTTTATCTTTGCTTATATGTATATGTACCTTCTTGAGCTTGCCCTCAAACTGCCTGAAGGTCAAGTTAGCTTCTTTTTCCTTAGGAAGGTATGAAACAAAGTGGGTTCTGTAGGAAAAGAAAAAGAAACCAACATGCTTTGCATATAATTTATCCCCAAAATCAATTCACACATTACATGTTTAAGTGAGCAAAGTGTCATAGAATTGATCATGTGCTTGTCATTGAATGCACTGTCGAATGGAGTTGCAGTTTGAAAGGAACCTGATAGGGGGCATGTCAAACTTCATCACCTAGTGCTAACAGGTACTGTAATTCCTGATTTTTTCACTGTACTTTTATGTTCACTGTTTTCACTGTCACTTCTGTACCATGAACTTATCATCACAGTTAACAAATAATTCCTGGACTTTCTTTTCCCTGCACCTGTTGCCACCGTGAATATATAGTTCGGTGAACGTGTCTATTTTTCTCAGACCGTGAAATTTTGCTACCGTGAACATAAAGTGAATTACAGTACTCTTTACCAACTGCCTATTGGTTTAGGAGATTGTCAACTTAAAGCTGCATGGAACAAGATGCAAGGCAAATGACCAATTCTGACAAGATCTGACAAGTTTAGCATCTTAGACCTTTAGTACAGAAGGGATTTGGCTACCAATTTTGTATTGGTGACACAAGGTCTAATGGAACGGGGAGAATATCAACTTACAGTAGATCCTGGCTGTTTTCTGTTTCTGTTTCCTGGACCTTGAAATCAAAGTCGGCCAAAGTCGGATCATCCGGCGCATCACCACAAGTCTGGGACAGCATCTTCACATACTTCTTGGCATCGTGGTCCCAAAAGATGTTCACAGCAATGTTACGTTCATATGAGTTCACCTGGTGGAACCTGTGCATAGAACAGAAAATTTTAAAGTGAGAATAAGAAACTAACACAGACACAGGCATATATACATAATACCGAATGCATGCTATTGTACAATGTTTTGTTTCTGAATATATTTCAATATTTAACCTGAATATTTCAAAGAAACAAGAATATTTCTTGGGGGACATTTATAGAACGGATTCAGGATTGTAACAAACATTACAGCATCAAATGTAATAGCTTATGGGCCTTTTTAGATGGTACAAAACACACAATGGAAGAAACACAGATGGATGGAAGGATGGATGGATGGATGGATGGATGGATGGATGGATGGATGGATGGATGGATGGATGGATGGATGGATGGATGGATGGATGGATGGATGGATGAAATGACTAATTTTTACTAGATATCCAATACTTCTGACCTATAGCCTTAGAACACATCCATAGTTAAAAAGTCCCACTCACCACATGTAAGGTACATACAGACAGTCTCCTGCAGTCATGTTAACCCTGTAATACTCCACCTCGCGCATGCCTGGGTACTCAGTAAAGTCTACTGCATCCACATCCAGACTGGAGTAGCTGTCTTCTGGGTGTGTTTTTGGCACCTGAAATAAAAATTAAACATAAAGTTTCAGCTAAATCTTACGCACATAAGTTAGAAACTATACAGCAAACCTCTGTGAAGGTAGCATACTAGTAGTTTATCCAGTTATCCCTATTCCCACTTATGATCCCATATGTACAATGTAATGTGCAGTTTGAAAAGAAGACACAAGGGAGATTGCCCTATTTTATTTAACTTCATTCACAAAGTGAACACAATATCTATTGGATATCAGTACATTAGAGCTAAGTTCATCATCATTCACTGGTTTCTACATCTTCAGTCCTTGAGACATTCTATAGCTGCGTGCAGTAGTTCTTGTAAGCTATGAAGTGTGTACCTTTTTCTTGTACTTCTGATAACTGATGAAGACCAGCTCTTTCCTGCCATCTAACAGACAGTTGATGTTGTCCAGGTTGTCATGGTGAAGAACAGACCTGGTTCCACCACTGCTGAACCAAAGGACCTGGGGAACACAACCAACCACTGCTGTCAATCATTGGTCACATGACATTGGGTACCCAATCAGTACCTTCTGTTAATCATTTAGAAAAATGCTGGGAATTTCATCATTCTGACAAAAGCTTCTCTGTATATAAATAGGTAAATTTGGTATGGCAGCTATACATGTATTGTTATCCTTATTTTTTCTACTATTTTTTCTATTGCAGACTAGAAAGAATAATGTGGCTTGTGAAAAATTAAAAAAAAATGTCATCACTTTACCGTGTCTTGCAGCATCTCAATGAAAGGCTCACAGAGAAGTGGTTTGGGCATAGGGACATCTTTTCTGGAACAATAAAAAATCAGAATGTTTCAAACAAAATTATTGGCAAGTGGTGGAGTTATTGTCCAAACACAAGTAAACAGTTAATTTTTTAGGAAAAAATGGAACGAACACACTCAAATCATCTGTTATAATCATTAGGCCAAACAAGAGAAAAACAAGTAATCCCTAACAGTACATATTGCAAACAGCACCGACAGATTGGTTATATTTCTAATGCACTAATGCACTAACTGTGCTATTCAAACTGAGATAGCTGTTATCAGTTTTTGTGTTTGAACCATTAAACATACATCTGTGATGTCATAGATGGGACTGACCAATCAGAATGTGCCACAGCTACAGGTGTGCAGTTTAAAAAGCTATGAGTAATGATTATCTTTTAGTTTAATATCCTTTTGTCTGTTACATTAAAAACATTATTGTTGTTTCCACAAAGTGGTATAGGTGTAAGAGTTAAGGCTGAAGCAGCTCCTATGATGTTTTATTTCTTAAGGGTGAAATACTTTATTACTTAACATTGCAAAAGGATATGCTGCCAGAAACTACAATGTATATATAAATGAAGATTGAATAAAAAGCTTCATTCAATATGAGATCTGAAATAGTGAATGGTGGGTATTTCCTCTCAATGTTCAAAATAGATTTTAGGTAATTTCATCAGATTTTCTACCTCTCTTTGTTACATGTATATGACTCGTACCTTTATAAAGCAGACGTTTTTAAGTTAATACAATTGTCTATCCTGTCTCTAAACACACCGACTGAATTCAACTTGCTTTGAGTGTGTTGGAGTATACAGCATAATATGATGAGTTACTTACTTTAGAAACTCGGGTACCGCTTGGACCATGTAGATGTCTTCTGTGGCGTATCTATCCAGGAACTGTCTCAGGGTCATCTCTGTGACTGGCTGTGTCCGGTTCTCCTTCTTCTTCGTCTCTACAAACTTAAACTCCGTGGCAGACTCGGGAAACGTCCGTAAATAATCGTCCGAGTTCCACCTTCTGTGGGCCACTGAGTCCTTCATGGCTCCCTTGAAGAGAACGGGAACAGAGGAGATGGCATATTCCTCGAGGAAAACTTTTGGGGAGGGGAAACCTTTGCGTGCGTCTACTCTCTTGACTGGCGCATTGGACCCTATTGGTTCTAAATGTCCAGGCCACAGAGATGGGTCGTCTTCTAACGTGACTCCGTTTGGAGGCCATACTTCTGTGTCTTCTTCGGGAACTTCTTCTTCTTGTCCACCTTTGACGCTGACGTCTTCAGTTTTCTTATGTGGTTTTACTTCGTCCTTTCCAGGTGCCGGCTCTGTTTTCTTACTTGCCTTGCCTTGGTTTTCTTTCTCTGGTGGTCGTTTCGTTGGTTCTGGCTTTACGTTCGCATCGTCGCCCTTTTGTTGCTTGTTCTTCGCGCCTTCTTCTAAACCCAGGATGACATTGACCGCTAAGACTAGTACTAGTAAGAGGAGAGCGATGAGTACCCATGTCGCCCGCGCCATGCTGCCTTCTCAGGCCGAACAAAAGAACAACGTGGCCTTCACATGTCCGTGGGAACCACATCAGCTGGCATAAAATGCTATCACAGGCCTTTCCGATACCGGAGGGCTAAAAATTAAACACGTACACAAACACACGTGTGTTTGTTGTCCTCTGTCACTTCCGGGTAGGCGCGGGGCAGCATGGGAGTTAATTTGTTCCTGATCACGTGGTGCCGCCCTGCGAAGTCGAGACAAGATGGACGCAGGATTCTTTCGGGTTTGTTATCAAATCTCTTCTTTATTCTCCCTCAGAATTTGGCAATTTTTCGATGCATTTGTAAGTTTAGATTGTGTAGATTTACCAGGAATTGCTTCAATGCTTCAAATTCGTGCAGAAAAGAGAAAGCAGACAAAGAAAGTGTTGTCTGACGACACGAGGTATTTTCCAAAATGGCGGCTATAATTTTCCTTGCACGCTAAAAGCAGACTAAACCAGTTTCACTTCTCTTTTGTTCCAAGTACAGGCTTTGGCTATACGAAAAAAGAGTTACCTAGATTTCTATATGTACAATTAGTGACTGAAATGTTTCTACTGGCTATACTGGATCGTGTATAATTTTCTTTTATTTGGCAAATGAGTAGTCTAACTCAAGGACGAAACAATAAAAATTCATTGGCCATGGTCTAATGATTCTAGCCAAGTTGTAAAGGTTAAAGCGTGGAACAGTAATTGTTGGCTATACTGAATATGTAGATATCCCAATATCATCTATGAACCTTTTTCAGAAGATAGTTTGTGATGATCATGAATAGAAGGGTTTATTTAACATGCCAGAGCCATCATTACAATGATGTTGGGCATCAAGGAGAAGAAGAAGAAGAAGAAGATTTTACTTAGAAATATGTTAACATGTGCTCAACAAAATTGGAACCACAAAATTGAAATGAACATGAATAATATATGATTGTAACGTTTCAGTTATTGAATGAAATGGTGCCAAAATGGTTGAACAACCAAAAAGCAGCTGTCCTGAGATGAATTAATTTGAACGCTGGTTTTCAGATTATTCTTAGGTGTTTTCTCAATTTGAGAAAATGCCTAATTATTATTTACCACACACACAAAACAAGAAACTAGTGTGATTGACCAACATCCGTTCCTCCACAGGGCACCAGTGCCGAGCAGGACAACCGTTTTGCCAACAAGCAGAAGAAGCTGCTCAAACAGATGAAGTTTGCAGATGGCTTGGAAAAGAAGGTATGTTGAGATGCTGTCTCTTTGCTCAAGCCTTTTCTAAGGAACAGAAGAAGGGGAAAGAGCCATATTCCTGAGTGTTTTGCTGATACATGTATTCTAGAAATGAAGTTGTCAGTTTTTTTATGTGGTACTTTAATTGGAGAGGAGGAAAATATCTTGATTGAGAAAGAGTAAGTGAAATTTGTGGACAACAGGCTATAATACATTGTACATGCAAGGACTTCAGCTTATCATTAGTAAACAAAGGTTCAAACAAGCAAACTGTGGTTCGATCAATCAATCATCCGCGGGCATCATGGTCTGATGCATAGCGGCCACAGTCATGCACAGGTCTCGCCAGGTTGATCTGTCACCGGCACAAACCCTCCAGTTGTCTCTGACACCCAGCCTCCCAACCCAAGTGTGGGGAAGAGCTGGTCTTCCCATCTTGCCCTAGGGCGGCCCCTTGGACGTCTCCAGGTTGGGTTAGGTTGTGAGGTCAACAGTTGGTCAAACTGTGGTTTGGTTCATATAATTCTTTTTTACACGTATTACTTTTTTTTCACTTACAGGTTGACATGACAAAGGTGAACATCGAGACCATCAAACCATGGATCAAACAAAAGATAAACGACATGCTTGGATTCGAGGATGACGTAGTCATTGATTACGTCTTCAACCTGCTGGAAGAGGAAAAGGTAATGCGGGTTGTGTCCAGTGACTGTGGAACCATACAGAGAAATGCAGTTATTTTGATAGGAATAAAGGTTCATTTTGTCAGATGTTGGTAGGGACTGTTACTTCAAGGTGCTGTGGTTCGTAGGAGCTTGAGATTAAACAGAAAGACCATACAACTTTCAGAATTCATGGGGTTGATAAGCTGTTGAAAATTGGAAGAGCGTTTGTGCAACTTGAAACTTATTGCAAATTTCTCTGGTTTGTCGTGATAAATGTATAAATATAGCATTAAAATTGCTGCGAGTTACAAGTACTTGACGTTCTAGATGTCTGTTGCAAGTTAGTTGATCACTATTAAATCTGATTCGAACATCTTCTTGCCATTTTCAACATCTGATAAACCCCATGCTTTCTTTCCACAATGTCTAGTGTAAAGGCTATTACTGACAGCTCACATGACTTTGTGTCTGTGTTTTCTCATTTGTTTACAACAAGTTACCACAGCAAATTTAGTGTTTGTTGTAGGGGCAAGGATCATTGTGCGCTCTACTTATTTTACCTGTTTCATTTCCCATGATTTTAGATTATTCTAAAATATTCTCACGTGTTGAGGTGAGTGTACGAGAGCAAGGACCCCCCATGGACCTGCTGCCTTGTTTTCAGGCCCCAAATCCTCTACAGCTCTGTCTGCCAGTCTTTAGGAGCCGTTGCCACGGTATTGTCATGGTAACACAGGGCCTCCTCCCAATATGTAAATGGTCGGTAACTGTCTTTCTTACCTAGACGAGAAAAGGACTAGCTTGTTGTTGTCGTAAGTTGAAACTGTACTCCTGGAGGCAGTTTTTTTGCAAGGTACACTTCTGTTTCAGTAGGGAGTTTCTGTTTTGTGCAGCCTTTTTACACAAGAAACATGATCTCACAAAAAGTGCACAAACAATCACATGTAATTATTTATGCAGGGAATACAAGTACAGTATGCACAATAAAGGCTTTGCCTTCTGGACATACCAGACATTGTGAATCCGTGGCTTGTAATCATTAGAATTTAAGCATTTAGATGACCTTTCATGTTAAACAATACGGCAAATTTAAAGGAGAACAGAAATATCATGGGACAAACATTCCCATGCCATAGCATTCAAAGGAGTTGAATGAAGTTATTGAGAATTAGCTTTCTCTTCATATTCCTAATAGAATAACCATCAAGAGTAATTCAGTGTTGGGCACATAGTTTACCAGATGCACAAGAATATACTTTTAGACTCACTACTAAATTTAGAGCATGGGTTCCTCCTTTTACTCCAGTGGTTAGATACTTAGTGGGCAACCCTGTCATAATCGAACAAAAATACTCAAATGAAGCACTTAAAAGACATGAGTGATTGTACTGTTAGTTACGTTGTATTCCAAATGATGCAAAGTTCTATGTTTGTATAAGAAGCTAAAGACCTGGTACTGTTAGGCTACTTTACAGTATTTCACTGATTTAAATACATTGTCTGATCAAAAGTCTTCCCTTATGTATTTTTCAACAGGAGCCAGACCCCAAATGTATGCAGATCAACCTGACGGGGTTTCTGAATGGGAAGAATGCGCGAGAGTTCATGGGGGACCTGTGGAAACTTCTGGTCAGTGCACAGGACAACATCGCAGGCATTCCCGCTGAGTTCCTGGACAAGAAGAAGGAAGAGATAAAACAGAGACAGGTACAAATACAGTTACAAAATTTTAATAGACATTTTATGACTTACTGAAATTTATTCCTGAGTCAACATAGAAATGTGTGAGCAAGGTAAAGCTGTCATTCTCAAATTGACCTGAAGGATAAGGTTTTATTTTTAAAGCTTTGGTAGTCAGACTGTCTTGAAAATTATTATAATTTAATTTTAATAGTCAAACTGGGACATTTAACCTTTACTACAGTATTGGGCTAGTTGCTTACTGTAGTAATATCTGTGATTGTACAGCTGTGTGGCCCAAGGGCTAAGGAAACAGAGTTGCACTCCCCTATATACGCCATATGTTTTTGAATGACCATATGTTTTTGAATGACTTGTTTTTTATATTAAAGTTTAAACTGAAGTTGGATGACTCTGTTCCAGCTTGAACAGGAGCGTATCCAGGCGGGGCTGAAGCGTTACCAGGAGCTGAAAGAACAAGAGGAGAAGGAGGAAGAAGTGAAAGTAGAAGAGGGGGAGGAAGAGAAAAAGGACAAAGCAGAGGGAACACAGGAGGACGGGTTAGTTCTTAGCATTTAAGAATTCTTACTATGATAGTGATCCAATATGTCAAACAATAGCAAGTTGGCACGTAATCTGTGAACTGTTTTGAAGATGTCTAATACTGAAGTAAATTTGGTATTGGAAAAGCATACTTTTTTTATCAGTCCTGACTTTGCCTAGCATTGTATGGTGTAGTCATCCCAAAGTGCAGTTGTACTGTGATACCTCTTTCCACTGAGGTGGCAACTGTGCAGTCTCATTAATAGAAAAAGAATTTCATTGATGAAGATGTGTCATGTCACACTTTTACGTCATAAATTGTTGTCCAGTTTTGTAGTCAATGGACATACAAATCAAGTTTTGCTGAATGGTCTCCCTTTAGTGGAAAGATGGTCTTAGTAGTTGTACATGACATGTTGTACTAACATGTGAACGTATGTGTCACACACACCAGCACACACACTGGGGAGGCCGCTAAGGAGGAGTCTCCCACCCAGGCTAATCCTGCCTCTACTCCTCAGCCTAAGAAAAGGTAGTCTGCACCCTCAAGCACTCACTAAACCATGTGTGTCTGTCTGTTACCAGTACCTGTTGGTTTGTTACAGGATAACTGAAACATTACTGGATTTTAATCGGTTTTGTTTTTTTTGAAACCCAGGTGTTGGGTAAAGTGATTGAATATTGGGAAATGTCTAAATCTGTATCTAGGATTTCTGAAGGGTTGTTTCGATTGCAAGGTGGTATGTGAGGGCACACCATAACAAGACCAAGTGTTATGCACAGGTCCCTATCACTCGAGTATCATGGCATTGTAGGATACATGTTCAGTACTACTTTATCCTGGCAAATTCCTTTAATTTTTAACATGTCCAGGTCAGTAACACTTTTTGCAATCTCATGACAGTAAATCCACCTAAGTCAATGAGAATTTTTTTTTCAAAATAAATAAAAATGATATTTGGAGCTTCAAAGTGCATGTTGATAACCTCTTGTATTATCCCTTTTTTTAGCTCAGAGTCCAAGTCTCCTTCTAAAGAAGAACCCAAGAAAAGAAGCCCCTCTCCCAAGAAAGCGGAAGCAGACCCTCCTGCAAAAAAGAGGTAATGATGACTCACATGGGAAATCAGATAAATTTGTTACATCAAAAGCATCAGTGGTTTAATGCTTAATCCTTAGCCTTTTTAGACCATTGCAGCCACTTGGAATAGAATGACTTAAAGTTTATGTTTTGTTAAAAATCAAAAGACATCTTGATACCAGGTGAGCCACGTTAACTGTTCTTTCTTCCCGTCAGTAGTAGTGAACATGAAAAGAAGCGGGACCGTAGGCGGTCGCGCTCGCGATCTCGCTCGCGATCCAGGTCCAGATCCCCGCGCAGATCTAGATCCCCCAGACGAAGCCCTCATCGCAGAAGGCGGCGATCCTCCAGGTAGGAGCAACCCGTGTCTTATTATCACCTCAACTATGGAGATGATGTTTTTCCAATGTTATGGATTTTTATTTACCATTGTAAATTATGATGATTTCTGTCAGTTGCTATTACGTACATTGTACTATTGAAGTGTTATGTCTGACCCTGGACATAACAACTTTACAGACTGACAGTACTAAGTTTCAGAAGCACTGTTATACAGTTGTACATTTGGAATGGATGTATTTCACTTAGCCTGGGACCCTGGGCTTATACAACTATTGCTACCAATTTTTTTGAGTACTCTTCTTGTCATCTTACTTTTTAAGGACACAAACTTGATTCTTTTCTAAATTTAGAAGTCTTTGGTGTTCAGGGCATTAGACAGGACATGTTGAGAGAAAGTTATAGAGCCTGGCAGTAGTGTAGTGATGCTAGATCACAGCTCTGTTATAGCGACAGGAGTGCACCCTTGACTGGTGTAGCCTATTGTTGCAGACTAAGGGTGCCCAGAAAGCCTGAATCTCAAAGGGCCAGGTGAGACAAGTACAGGTGTTTCTCCCGTCTCAGGTCCCGATCGCCACGCCGTCGCTCGCCGCCACGCCGCAGGTCCCCACCGCGCCCATCCCGACGCAACAGGTAAGACTGCGCCCAAAATCGCTACATAAACGTCTGTAGCTTTAATTCCTTTAAATTGTGATAGCAGTGTAATGAAAACACACACTGAAGAGACAGATATAATGGATACTTCAACTGTGGCATATCTAAATTAAAAACTGTTCATGTTTGTACATGTATGTAAAATTGATACAGATTTGTAGTTGTAAAAGCTTGTAAGTGAAATGTGGTGGTTGCAAAAAAGCATAACAAGTCAGAAGTAATTTTTGGCTGGAGAGCATGCTAATTTTGATTCCCACCCCCACTCCCAAGTCCCTGCTCTATAACTGAAAGAGAAAGGAAACTGCATGGCCCTGATGGTGTGTCTATCTATTTATATTATAGAGCTGACAGGGGAAGAGGTTGGATGACCCAAAGGTACTTTCCTCCTTAACGACTTTTGTGTTGATGACTCTAAAGTGTGGTGTGAAGTGTTGGTTTAAAAAAAAACTTGGTGTGAATATTGGTGTTGTGGCATCGGCTTTTTTTTAGAGTTGGAAGTATTTGTGGGATTTCTTGAATGCTGAACAATGTTGAAAAAACTTGAGTGCTCTACTACTTCTATTAAGCATTTCTTTCTTTTCCATGCACTGGAGAGTCTTGTGGTACTCTGTACTCATCTACTAGTAGTTGGGGTGGAAGGATTAAAACTTTAAGTTGCATGGAATGGTTAAGGTGCTTTGTTCTACCCAGCTAGTTACTTAGGAGTGGTAGTGTTTGAAATGTAGATTGACAGACAAGAAGGTAGATGATAATCGGCTGTCTTCTTAGTGTGCTTGCTGTGTGGGTGTTAGTTGTTGCTTTCTGTACAGCTGCCCATTCGCTCTCACTGTGTGTCAGAACCGACTCTGTTTCACAATCACATGTACTTTATTTGTACCGTAGACCTCAGAGGGGGAGAGGTTGGCTGCTACAAAGGTACAGCTCAACCTTTCTCTGTTGGTGTAAAAAAAATGGAGCTCCCGGCAGCTTTGTAGCTCCTTGCGCTGGTGCCGGTGCCTGAAAAATTTGACTGCGCAGGGCTCATTGCCCAACATAATTTTTTTTGCTGCATTTTTTTTGCATGTTGCATTTAGTAGTGTAGCTGCTGAAAAAAGTAGAAGGGTTGTTTGCTTTGTGGCATTTTTTGTAGGTTTTTCTAGTCTTTTTTGTATTATTATTGACAGGTCCTTCTCCTGAAATTGAAACTGGACTAAAAAAAATTTCAAACCTTACCTGTATTGCTCAAGCAAAGGTATTTGATAATTGGGGTTTCGAGAAATTTTTTGCATATTCTCATATCTCTATCCACTATTTGAAGTCAACTTAACAGCTAAGAGACAAAGTGTATTTGTTGTCAGCATGGGAGAAAATAAAACTTTTCTAGTAAAGACCAAATGTGTCCTTTTGATATTGAAACTGTGTTTCCTACTTGGGAATTTGTCCCCACAAACATACGTTCTCGTAGGGTATTTTACATAACTGTTTTATGATTTTATGATTGAATAAAGAAGGTTTGTTTGGTAGGATTGAAAGCTTCATTGTATCATCTCCATATAGCAAGAAGAAAATTGCCACTAGGTATTGCCACTGTTGCTTACAGTTGTCCATTTTTCAGGGACCGTCGCAGAGGGCGATCTCGGTCCAGGTCAGCGAGCTCCGGATCGTCGGGTTCATCTGGGTCCAGGTCACCAGTGAGGCGTCAGCGGCGGCCATCTTCCCCAGCCAAGCGGTCCCAGAAAGCAGCCCTGTCACCCAGCCGCAAGGACAAGTCACGTTCACCCGAACCCAAACAGAAGGCTGAAGCAGATGTCAAGGTGGAAATGTTGTCTAGTCTACTTAATTGTCTCTACTACCGTGGCCCCTTACATTCATGCATTTGGGGGGGTTGCAAGGGAGTTGAGGTTAGGTGAAAAACTTGTGGGACATATGTACCATAAATAACAATTTCTTGATGCTTAAAAATTCTAACTTCTAAATCTAATGGCTGTTCCAAAATTTTTTGTCTGGACCTCCAATTCTGTATAACCCTGCACAGCAGTTTTATATTGTCTGGAGCATCACTAAGTCTTGTGCCCTGTGTTAACCCCAGGAGGAGAAGAAGATTGCGGTTGTTCGGCCCCTGGGCTCCCCCTCCCCACCCCCGGCACACTACAAGGCAAAAATGGAGAAGGAGAAAAGTCGGGATTCAGGGGAGGCTGACGGTATGTGACCTGTACTTTTCTTTAGTATCTCTCTGTTTCATGTTTGTTACTTTATATGCACAAAGTTTACCCCGGTATGTTGTATGTGTGCTTCACGAGCCCTGTAGTTTCCCTGTATTAATCATTACTTTTCAACATTAGATGCTGGTCCTGCATATGAATATGTACCAAAGCCTGATGGTCTGCAGCAGAGACGACAGTACAGGAAGCAGCACTCCTCTCCCTCAGGTAAGAAAGATAAAAAGATTGCCATTGCTGTTTGTTTGTTTATATGATTCATGAATGTTACGTACAATTTTTGCCACTGTGTTCTGAGGAATATGAAATTAAAGCTTTTTTTAATGGTAAATATAGTTTGTGTGTAATCTTCTGCTGTTTTTGTGTCTAAGGTCTGTGTTTGAGGTTGACCAAGAAATTTTTGTTTAGATTCCTCCTCGTCGTCGTCAGATGAAGATGACAGGAAGAAGCCTGGGAAGGACAGTGGGCGGCGGCAGCGGTCGTACTCCAGGTCCCGCTCCAGGTCTCCACGCAGACGCAGAAGGAGCTCCTCCCCAGACAGGCGCAGGGCATCTCCAAGGTGAGCAGGCTGTTTCTTAAGAAAGTCAACATTTCTCGTTGAGAATCTGTACTCAGTGTTAAAGTAAGATGATTTTTAGGATAGTAGGATTTTCTTTTACACAACAAGTACTGTACCCCACCTGCTTACGTTTGATGTCTGTCAGATACCTTCCTAAGAGCTTTGAAAAGAAGAAATCCTTGTGTAGCTTATGTAGGTGGCCAAGTTTGGGTAGTGTTATTGCTGCTAAAGTGCCACCTACATAGGCCACACATAGCAGCAAGAAACAGAACACAAAGTGTTATGCTCTACTAACTGATGAAATTGTTTTTGTAAGATGATTTACAGATGAAAACTGATGTGCCATTTTTCTGCATATTTCAACAGGAGACGTGGCAGATCTCCGTCCCCTAGAAGACGCACCCCCTCCCCAATCCTCCGCAGACCGCGGTACAGTCCCTCCCCTCCCCCTCGCAGACGACGGCGCTCGTTCTCCCGCTCTCCCAGGCGCCGGACACCCTCACCAAGAAGAAGGGGAACCCCGTCTCCGAGAAGAAGGGGCACTCCGTCGCCCAGAAGACGTACCACCCCCTCTCCTAGAAGACGTACCCCGTCACCAAGAAGACGCCGGACGCCGTCCCCACGTCGGCGCAGAAGCCCGTCTCCTAGGAGACGATCGATGACCCCGCCACCACAGAGAAGACGTCGCTCCCCCACCCCGCCCCCCAGGCGTAGATCGCCCCTCACTCCCCCTCCACGGCGGCGTATGAGCCCGTCTCCACGTCGATCACCCAAACGGGCCCGACCCAGCAGAGATCATTCCCCATCTGCTTCCCCTCCACCGAAGCGACGTGCCCCCTCCCCCCACAAGGAGTCCCCATCCCCCGTCCGTAGACGGCGCTCCCCCTCTCCCCCTCCCCGGCGTCGCCGCACGCCCTCCCCACAGCCCAGACGGCAGTCCCGCTCCTCCCGCTCCCCACGCAGGATGTCGGGATCCTCGCCCCGACGTAAACAGGACGTGTCGCCCAGACGCAGGTCTGCCTCCTCCCCACGACGCCGGTCGGCCTCGTCCCCACAGCGCTGGTCAGCTGGGTCACCAAAGAAACCAGTCAAGGAGGTGTCTCCAAGTCCTGTGAAGCGGAGGAAGAGAAGTGCTTCAGGGTAGGTATATTACAGGCACACCAAGAAGAATTGTCGCTTTGGGCATGTTGATGAAGCTTCGAAGTTTTAGATGGTTATGTCAATGCAGGTAATGAAATACTAGTACACAAGAAACCAGCCACTCAAGCAACTGTTTCAAGTAGCATCCACTGTTTTTTTTGTCATTGACATTGGTCACAATACTAGGTAGATGGTTAATGGAAAGTATTGCGAAAATATTTGTGTACTGCAACTTCTGCTTCAATGAATTGAGAATGTTTTTTGTTTCGGTAGCGAGAGATCCCCATCTCCAGATCGAGCTCCCGTGGTTAAGAAGAAGCCGTCTCGCTCACCCTCGGGCTCCAGAAGTCCATCTCCTAAACCAGCCCCGAAGAAGAAGAGCAAGAAGGAAGAGTCAGGGTCTGAAAGTGCTGACAAGGTGAGAATGTTGCTGCAAGAGTTGGATTTGAACTGACAATGTGTTTTGTGCTGTTCATGCAATGTCCTTTCAAATGCCACAATGTAACAGCTTGTGCTTGAATACCGGTAAGCCAGTTTATGGTTTGAACTGTGCTGTATTGTGATGTATGTAAAATCCCCATGCACAGTTGAAAATCCCCATGCAACTATGAACCAGCCTATTGTTGCTTACTCTGTAGTCACTGATCCCTAGGTTTGTCTTGAAGTGTTATGTAGTGAGTGGTGAATTTTTTCATGATTTTTCGTACTTGTTTAGGAGTCTGATGCTGAAGTGAAGAAGAAGTCCAAGAAGGAGAAGAAGCACAAAAAACACAAGAAGCACAAGCACAAGTCCAAGCACAAGAAACACAAGAAGGAAAAAGAGGAGGAAAAAGAGGTGGATTGATAAGCCCCTTTTCAATTTTTGCTTTTGTGCTTGAAGTACAGATACTGCCCTACCCCCTGTGAGTTCCTAAAAATCCCATGAATCCAAAATTTTTGTAGTCTTAGCCAATCATGATATGTGATTTTGGACCAATGTATCTAGTCAGGGGTGTCAGGATTTCTAGGTTTGATTGCAGATTTTCCAAATTGTTAGAACACGTTGTGGAGTGCATCATATTGCTAATATAGAACTTTTTACATTGGTCCTAGGGGGAGTCAAATGTGGACCAGGACCTCTCAGGTTGATGGACAAAGAGGAAAAATTAATGTAAATATCTACCTTATATGAACCAAAGGTCTGTGACAGTGGATTGAGGTGTTTTGTGTACCCCTGTACCACCAGTATCTTTCCCTCTCCTGGTTTAAAACAAACTTGATTTTGATAGAAGAGGTGACTTCCTCTTTGTCAAGTTTCTTTGTCATTTCTGCACAGTTTGTTGAACGGTTGGTTCATAAAACCAGTTGTTAACAAAACCATAGTTAGAAAAGGTTATATCCAAAACTCTTTTTGTTACAAATAAACAAGCCTGAAAGCTTTCTGCCAGAGATATAGTTCTGTAAACTTGCTGCAGTGATGACCACATGTGTGTGTTTTAAGAACCACCATTTCTGTACTTTCTTGTAGTGGGATCAAGTAGACAAGTCTTTCACACAAAAGATCAAAATATAACACAAAGTTTGCTTCTCTGTTGTGTTTTCCAGGGTTCAGAAAGTGGGGAGGAGGATGACAACCTTGATGAACTGGAGCGAAAGTTACGAGAGCGAGCGCTGCAGTCCATGCAGAGCAGAGCTAAGAGCTCCAAGTCAAACTCCCCTCAAGATGAAGACTAGTCTAGCAATGAGCCAGTTCACGGTTTTGAACTGTGCATGTGGCGTGGGGTGCACTGTTGGTAACTTGTCAAATTTGAAGGCCCATGAGATATAAACAAAACTTGTTTGTACATGTATAACGCATGGTATGGACAAGATGATGATGGACAAGAACTGTTAGGGGCCATCGTCTTTGACATTACGCCTGCACAGTTCAAACCATGAGCTAGCATATTGTCTTAGCATACCTTATGTTGTAGGTTATACAATTGATGTAACAGCAAGAAAATGAAAGAAAAGTAGCTCTGTTCTTTGAGCCTTTGTTCAATTTTATTTGCTGAATAATACAATACTAGTAGTCAGAATTGTAACAGTTAAGACACTCGGTTTAGTTTTGGTTGGTGAATTTTAGGTATCTTCAAAATTGAATGCTGTATGTGTACATGAATATGTTTCTTTCTCTTTAGTTGTTTATTTTAGCTGGACTTAGTCCAACTGAATGGTTGTCATAGGTGGACATGGTCCATCTCAATAGCTGCTCAGTTTTTTAAATGCTCGATTAAGAGTTCAGCGTAAAACTGCCACTTTGGGGGATGACTTTGACTTGACTGTTATGGACATGTGTATTAGAACTGGATAGTATTAGTAGGTATGACAAGTAATCAGAACTGCCAACTGATAGTACATGTACAAGAATTGTGTTTTAGTTGAATGAAAGGATGTACAAGCGCATGTATGGCCAAAAGAATTAAAGTAGTTGTGCTGCATGTTTATGTGCTCATTTACTTAAATTGATGTCAGGGCCAGCAAGTGGCTAAAAACTGGTGACGGGTAATTTGCCTACCAATAATTTGCATATGCCTTCAAGTAATTTGCATGCAACAGCAACTGTATGAATACGTTATAGCTGTGGAAACTACTTATGGGTAAGCCAGGGATATCATGGTTTACCAACTGATCCAGGATCAGTTTTAACTCTTTATTACACAGTAAAAATGGTGTGAATGTTCAAATATTCAGTACTAGATTTTAACCTCAAGCTCACAGAACTAGAAGCAGCTGTTTGGCCATTTGTTACAGAGTTAGGCAGCAGGGGGAAGGTTAAAATAAATTGAACTGAAAGTTTTTTTGATACGCCTAAACACGTAATGGTACTCCAGCTAAAATGTACCCATAACATGAGTTACTAGTATTCCAGCAACAACAGCTGCAATGTGTGTAGTTGGATAATCCAAGCACAGCCAAAGAAGCAAGTGTTACATGATGTGTTTGGCAGGCTGGGTTATAACTCAGATTTATTTTGCTACTATTTTCCTTTACACAGACATGGCATGTTTGCATCTGTACATTTTAGTTGGCTGGATTTGAGCAATAATTAGATTTGGGTTTTGAGCTGAAGCTGGTGTGTTACGCCGAAGGGCGGTTATACTGGCTATACAGGTACAGATGCAGAGCCATTGTCAAGCTTTTTCTCGAATATGAGCCTACTGAATATACAGAAATTAGAAGTGTCAATTTTTGCTAAAACCTATTAGAGTCACCAGTCCAGATAACGGACCATAGAACGCCATATACGATTAAATGTTGTATCTTGCACACCCACCAAACCAAATATTGAGAGAGCATTTAATCTCCAAGCAGATGTTTTGCATGCTGCAAAAGTATTTTGGCAAATGGATACTGCCTGGCCAATTTGATACTGTCTTTTGCGGCCATGGAAACATACTTGGAGATTATGAGCATTGTGTATAGAGCATGTTCATAAGGCTTTTAAACAACTTATTTGTGTGCATTCCACTAGTATTGTAGGATCTAAGTGTGCAGCCAGTTGGACCAATAGAATTCCCTGGTTTAACAAAAATGATTTTGAGTAGTAAGAAAATGAACACAATCTTGGCATATTTTTTAGCTTTGATATCAGCAACTATTAAGTGATGGGCCTTTTCCTTTACAGTATTAAAAATAATTGAATAAAGATGATTTTGTGTTATTTTCTGATTTCTTAAAAATCTTGTCTTTGCCTAGTTTTGCGAAGATTTTGTATTTTTTTGTTATATCATTGATCTTCCATCTTTTAAGCTTTAACGTCATGTTTTTGTTACCTGTAATCAAGGAGCTTTCACCAAAAGCTTGCTGCTTACGGTGTCTTACGACATTTACTTTTTAGTTAAAACCAGCAAAAGGTTCGTTGGCCATGAAAAAAATACAAAGTGGGCTAGGTAGCAGCCCCTTCCACATTCATTTACACTTTTCTATTTATAACAATGTCACAGACAGAAAAGCAGCCTCTTCGTTGTATTTAACGTTAAGCATTTTTATTTTACATATGATACCGAACTACGCGTCTGAATTCTCTTCTACACTGTATTCGGTTTTCGTAAAAGCCCGCTCGGAAGGTCTTCTCTTACCTGCTTTGCAATTCAAAACACCTGACGTTTCGTGACGTCACAAATCCAAGATGGCGTTCTTCTGTCCGGCGAGGATTCTTGGCCGGAAGCGAAAGAAAGGTTTGCTTTTGTCCGTCTCTACTGTCTTTTACCTCAGTTATGGAGGGCACAGCGTAAGCGTTAGTGTTTTACATGCGTTCGTTTTAGTAGGGTTTTACTGATTGAAACGTCTGTTCGCTTGTATGTGTGTGATGTTAGGTGTTACGTGTAACGTAGGGTCAACGCACTGACTATAGACTAGTATGGTTACAGTTGCATCAAAATAGCAAACACAGTTGATTGTCTAGAACATCGGCGTGCTTGTAATACAGTGAAACGTGAAGTCGGAAGTACTAGCAAGCTACTGTTTAGAATGTCAGAACAATTATTTAGGGGCTATTTGAGGTGAGGGGGGGGCATGCCACAAGTTATCCATGTGTATATAATTGCATGCCATTCTTGAGTGCTACTTCTTCTGAAAAGAACGGCAGATTAAGATCCCGGAGATGACAACGTCGACTAGTTGTTTGCCCCATTGTTGTTCCGAATTCCTGCAGACTTCCCAGCTTTGCGATGCAATTTTAGGCGGGTCGCTGGCTTTAGTTCACTTCGCTGCACCGGTGAAAAGAAATACTAGTAACTAAGTAAGCTTCACAAAGACGTGAGGACTTTATTCACCCCTTAGGCATGCCTACAGTTATTTTGCAGTCCATCAGGACAGCTTGAAAGAGAACAGAAGCCTTTTAACGTTCCTTCAAACACAGAAGTGACAGACTTTCTTTGGAAAAGTATTCACGGCGAGCACACAACAAAACAGCCCAGTGCTTTCACTCAGGTTTTGGAGGGTCAGGGTTTCCTTTGTGTCCGCTGACCCATATCGAATGCGGGAGTCGATCGGGACGGGAACGGGATACGATAACGGTTAGTCTCGTCATCCAGGCTTTTCGGAAGGCTTCTGTAAAGGGAGAAGACAAGAGAAACATAAGCATACGTTTTGGCTATCATTGTGCTGCGTTTTTATCCATTACCTAAAAAGAAAAATGCCAGTACCAACAATTTTAAGTCCTAAGAGATTCGAAAAAGTCATACTCGAAGTCCCAAGAAGCCTAAACTTTGAGGCTATATCTGATTTCACACTAATAGAGCTTCTATGCTGTAGGTTGTGGTCTCCATGGAAGCAATAGGAGATTTGTATTCACTGATGTAGAACATATACGCCTGAGCCATGTTATGTCCTTGGTACAGGCAACTGGGCTTCTAATGCGGTATTTCTAGAGGGAATTAGGATTTTGATTGTGTCGAGAGCTGAATATTTTTCATTGTGGAAAAGTCATTTGGGGGAGTGAGGATTTTGAAAAGCCTCTTTTAAACCCTTCAAACATAGTGAAGTTGAACTTGATCGGCCACACTGTTTTCAATGAGGTTTTCCGTATGCATATTGCTTTTCAGAAGACATTCAATTGATAGACCCGTAGCTTTTCTGTGGCACAACTCTTTTATGTTGGCCCTGGAGCCGAGGAGCTAGCCTATATATAATAGTATATATATATATGCCTAGGAAACAGTCTGGCACCCAGGCTATGTTAGAGAGGAATTGCAGGCTATTGGAATTCATGGGTCACTGCCATTTTGTATCACTGGGGACTGTAACAAGAAAAAAATGTTGCGAGAGTCCGGTTTCTATTGGCATTGGAGTGCTGGTCATGGTTGGAGGAATACTGGATCGTATGTCTGACTGACTCTAACGAAGGCAAAGGCATGGTAATTACTGCATGACGACGGTATATAGTAGAGGGGATTCATTCCTCAAGCTAACCGACATCTTGCACACGCAGTCGTCCCTCAGTAAGACATCTGGAGCCGCATAGTTCCCGTTTAGAACTTTTATTCAGCCTGTCACACAAAGTTCTAAACAGGAACTACGCGGCTCCAGATGTCTTACTGAGGGACGACTGCGTCTGCAAGATGTCGGTAGCTTGAGGAATGAATCCACTATACTATATACTACTGCATGACGACGGTGTCTCATTTAACTGTGCACTGTACCTGTTCACCTGGCCACGGGGGATGCACCATTTTCATTCCTTTAAAATATGAAAAAATTGCGAACAGCCAAATTGTCAAAGTACCTTTTCCTTCCACCCGACCGTTTGCTTTCCTAACATTTTTACCTCCGGGTAGGGATGTATTGGTTTCTGTGTGTCTGTCCGTGTGTTTGTGTTCGTGGGTATTTGAATGGAGTAGAGTGGCAAGGGCCTGGGTCGTACCGCAGATTGACCCTAAGGTCAAGTTGAAAAATATGATGGCTCCGTCACCCAATTAGGGCTTGTTCACAACAAAGTTTCTGTCCTACTAGCGTCTTTGAAAATACGTCAGACTTAGACCACCTCGTTGGTTGTAGCAATAGATCCACAAAACATTGAAATACGTCCCGGGGGTTTAGAATCCCCAACGTCTTGTTAAAATTGTCCTTCGTCTTGCAGCCAGAGAACGCCACCAACCCGTGAAGCCCGTCCCCGGCCGAATAACGGGTAGCGACAGCGTGGACACACTCGTGCGGGTCGGGCTGGAGAAGGAACAGGGACTGAAGACCAACTCCCGCATGGTCGTCCTTCGCAACTTCAACCCCTGCGTGGAAGACGAACTCGACGTAAAACGCGGCGACATCGTGTATGTTTTATACACGGAAAATGACTGGATCTACGTCATATCACCCAATGGGAAGGAAGGCTTCATTCCATCCGGGTACTGCGCGCCCGAAGGCACGAACCTTGACGATTTCGCCGACGACGGGTACTCGGCTTCCGACGGGGACTCGTTATCCTCCGGGATCCACCCGCCATCGTCTATCGCCTCACAGACTTCGGAGACAAGCATGTTTAAAAAAGAACACCAGGGGAAATATTTGGTGTTGTTTGATTTCTCCGCCAGGGATGAGAATGATTTGAACGTGGAGAGGGGAGAGTGGGTGACGGTTTTGAACAAGGAGGACCCGCTGTGGTTTTGGGTTCTCAGGGGAAATAATCAGGAAGGTTTCGTACCAAGCAACTTTTTAAGTCCGGACCTGTCCTCACAGGAGGCGTACACACCATTCTCAGGTATGCAAAGACGGTATAGAGAAATATTTTGCTCATTGCATTTATGTGTTTATTTTTCCATACCTAGCTTGTGAGTTTTTTGTCCGACTAGATTATACAATCGCCTCCACATGACCAATACATTCACGAAAACCCAAATACCTCCTGGAAACCTGAAATCTACGATTTCTTGTTTTGTGTGTTTCTTGTCCCTTATCCCATTCACATTCCGTGTTTCAGAATCTTCAGATGACCGGTTGTTAGACCACCCGACCCTGCGGGCCCGCCTGCCCATCACCCGGCCCAGGGGCACCGAGCTCATCGCCCTGTACGACTACGACGCCAAGGCGGCGGACGATCTCACTGTGACGCAGGGGGACTACCTGTACGCGGACCTGGACAATCAGGACCAGGAGGACTGGCTATGGGCTTACTCCGCCGCGCAGAAAAAGCACGGCTACGTACCGAGGTCGTACGCCAAGCCACCTGCAATGACGGCTTTGTAGACTTACCCATTGAACCAGTTTGGCCCGGAATGCAATTTTTGTCGACCCTTCATGGGTGTGGAGCCTTCTTTTTTGTATCTGACGTGTGCTTTAAGTTATGTCACTGTAAATTTATGTGATTACTTTAGCTCTAATCGTGCAAGATTTGATCCTATACTAAAGTGTTTTTTTAGTTGAATGTTTCTTTGAAGCAATAAATTGAAGATGTAGAATAACATGTGAACAACAATAATCGGCATCAAAGCGACCTTATTATTTTTGCCTCTTTTTCTCGTTTAAGAAATATTTGATATAATACAACAAGAATGGAATTCCCCATTTCAAATCGAGGGGGCGAAAGGTTATACCGTTTATGGATATATCTAACAGTAGGGGGTGTAGAAACACCCAGGTGCTTACACGTACTTACCTCAGATGTAGAGAACTAACTCTTGAAACTCTTTATTATAACGTTATTGTTCATTTCTCGAAGCATTGTAGTTTATTTGTCAAGGATTTAGAATTACTTTATTTTTCGTATGTTGCACCGTATGTAGTACGTAGGCAGTACTTTGCCGGAGTTGTCACTTTTGTATACCTCAGTATTAAAGAAGTATATTTAACAAAAACAAGTGATTTGCGTTTTGAAAATTCTTACGGTTTTCGATCAGGTCTGTACATTCTGTGTGTGGACAGCATAACTCAAGAAGGTGTGGATGGATCTTTATTATATTTGGTAGCTACATATTGCACAAAGAAAACAACGGACGCACATCTGTAGAAAATTTCACACTTGCTCTTGCCTTTATTTCTATGCTTTGACAGGACAGCATTGACTACAAACACTTATACATTTACACCTGAATCCCGAATGCTACAAGCTCTTTTTAACACCAAAACAAAAACACAGCCCTAAATTGTTGCCAAAATTCTCTGCAAAAATCCTATGTTACAGTGTAACACTCTGATGTTACCGAGCAAAGATTCACATGTACACCTGAAAATGACAGTCTTTACGTACACGCCTTACTACTTACTTATGGCTTACAAAAATTCCATATTTACAGATACAAACATGCCACTTTGTGATGTTGTTCTTGTGGTCGTTTTGCGTAGTTTTGGAGTAGATTGTCTTCGACATAAGGCCACTATCAGAAGTAGTACTAGGACGATTCACCGCCAAGTATTGGGATGTGTATGATGACAACTTCTCAAGAAGCATAAATTATTATATTTGTTATTCAGTCAACACATGTTTACAACGTCTCAGGGGTGGAGACAATTTCATACATCAAAAGCTTTAAAGTAATCAAGAAATTAACCCAAATAGAGACATCACAAAAACAATTCCTCCAGTCCGCATTGGCAGTGAATCGTTCCAGAGTTTGCTCGAGTTTGCGTTTACAGCAGTGGGATTTTCTATGCGTGTCTCAATGAGCTACAGTCAGTAGCCCTACGTCATACAAAATCATTTGAAACTTTTTCAAATATAATCTTAGCTATATGGTACAAATATTTGTACATCGGGCGATGTAAAACCCGAAGGTACTTGTATAAATTCGTGAGCCAAGTTGCTGTCAAATATTACCCAATAATACGGATATAAAACATGTGAAATACACGTTTTTATCAGTTTAAGCTAGTAGTATTTTCAATTTAGCTTTTTTGACATCCCATTGCGACTTTGCTGTGTTTTTACCACACTGCATGGACATCATGAAATCCCTGCAATTTTTTTGGTTGGTCCCTTTTAAGTCAAGGTACAAAAATCTTAAAAGTACAAACGTCATGGAAAATGCCACGCACGCATTACAGAAAAGCACCGTACTTTGTTAGAAAGAGTACGTGGTCACGTGACGAAGGCCAAATCTCGCAGCAGCACGCGAGAGTTGACAGTGAGCGACAGACTTCAAATCTGGTCAACAGATTTTCTGACACCATATATAGACATATATACAATCGAGCCCCACGAAACTAGTTATAGACGGTACATTAGTAACTGTGTCTTGATTAATAGTAGAAAACAATGCCACCAAAACGCAACCAGTTAACAATATCCAGTAAAGTTAATTGCCGTACTTTTTAGCTGCACAAGCATAAAATTCATCAATACACAATCATTTCTTCAACAAAAGCGTGCTAGTCATGTGAAAGCTCTAGATTACTTGCTCTTAAATAAAACATAATTACTTGCGAAAAGCGGCATTTCAAATTTTAAATACCTATAAAAATGCAGCTAACAGTTAAAATACACATGATTGTGAGCATAAAATTCCATCACAGCACTAAGATAAAATTTTACCAACGGTAGGCACCATGATATTTAAAATAACAACAAAATTCCGCCATATCAAATACACTAGAATATCTATATACAATCATCAGCCATCTAAATTCAACCCTGCGTCATGGCCTGCGTACAAATGGAATTTTAAATTATTCACATTTTGAATTATCAATATAACATAAAACATCACCGGGTGTCCGTGTGGATGCGGTCGAAATTTAAACCCAACGGAATGTGTTGCTTTTGTATGCGTTCATGTATGCACAGGGTTGGACCAGTTAGACTCCATTTAACCAGACTTACACATTTTCTAAAACTTCTGTTTGGGTGGAAAAATTGATCTAAATACAGCCGCCAACATGTTCTGAGTACACAGCAGTGCAAAGAAGCTAACTCGCTTCGTTTAGTATAAAAATAGCAGATCTTTATGCAAAAATGATTGCACGTCTGACTTGTTTGTATTTTTTGTGGGACAAGCAGTCCGATGGATATGTTCTATTCTTTGGTAACTGTGGAAAGTATGTTTTTAAAGATACCTACATGTTTGTTATCTTGTACATGAAGCAAAACCATCCGATGTCATGTGAAACTACTTGTCCCGATTTTCACAATGTTTTCTCCTCTCATCTTCTGATATTCCTAAAAAGTCGCATTTCAAACGATGTTTGTGTATTGTCACATTTGATAAGCTAAACTACAGAAAAGTACCACCATCATGATTGATGACTGTGGTCAGAAACATGGATATTTCGACCAATCAGAGTCACTGACTTATTCTCTGTATGAAATGCGGTGAAAGGTTATGTCTAACCAGTAGCCAGATCTCTGATTAAAGACGGGCAAAAATACTTAAACGTCTTACAACAACAAAAACTCTACTTCTACGTGCTAGTCGTCTTCACTCTCTCCTTCGTTGAACATGTTGGCGAGTTTGCTAAACCTCGGTCCCCAGTCGTTCAGGTAGTCGTAGTTCTGGTCGCCGCCCGAGCTGGAGGAGTTGAGGGAGCTGAGGGACCCTGCCAGCGAGCCCTCCCCCTCGTCCTCGTACGGAATGAACTCGTCCCGCGCGCCCAGGTTGTCTCCCAGCTCCTCGTCGTCTAGTCTGGTGTCGATGAACTCTCCGACGTCCTTGGTGTCAGGCACCTGGAGGAGGGCGATATCTGAGGTTAATGCATGTGCCGTGGTTTGTGATAGAAAATTCTCTTAGCTTCGGAAGTACAATCTTGTGACAGTATGAATCGGTGTGAGCAGAATCTATGCCAGCGTCACCTACAAGTATGAGTATCAGTGATTTCGTTCGGTGTAAGAGGCACGTGCTTTTGCAGTGCCCGCAATTTGTTCTTGTAAAATTTGCTCATTGTTTGCACTAAGCAGTTGTCAAAGTCACTCTTTCCCGTGTCGTATTGGCGCAGAAGGATTGACAAAATAAGGAACTATGACCACAAACATTTTAAAAATGGTAATCGAAGCAAGGTGCTGTCAAGTTTGCTTGTGTTGTGTGCAATGGTCGTAATACTACTATCTGGTGAATAATAGTGGGGATCCACACTAATGGAGCTCCTATTAAAATAAACAAAAACAAACAAACAAACAAACAAACAAACAAACCTTGTTAGTAGGCGAGGCCCTGGTCATGCTGGCGTTCCTGAGCGCGGAGATGTCGTACGCCTCCTGGTCCTCCTCGCCGTACCCCTCCTCCTCGTACTTCACGATGTTCTCGCGAGACTCGGCGTCAGCGCTGATGAAGTTCCGGCTGGCCTTCTTCTTCTCGCGCGTGTAGCGGCGGCGGAAGATGGCGAACACGATCACCAGGACTGGACATGGCGAAAAAAATAATGTTAGGACACACAGGCAAACAAACAAACAAACAAACAAACAAACAAACAAACAAACAAACAAACAAACACAGTAATTAACGACGAAAATGAGTCCGAACTTTGAATTGACAACCCTACTATACTGTCGGGTTAAAAAATCTTAATTTTTCTAACATTCTTACCGGGCTTTTCGTAATTTGATTTTCCTCGCTGTTGCTTATTGTACTGTAAGATTTGCATCGCAAAGGCAGGAGTATGTACCAATATTCAAGTCTTTGGAATGACCTAGCCAGGGTTGGAAATATGCCTCCAAATGTCACCTAACGATTGCATGAGCTACTTCCAGAGAATCAAATGAAGAATCGTACTAGAAGTGAGACTTACTGAGCAGGACCAGAAGACAGACACAGATGGCCACCAGAGCGAACGGCGAGATGCTGACAGGTCCGGTCACTCGGAGCGCTCCACAGTCTTTCCCTGCGTGAAAACACCCACGTTAGAAACAAACAAACAAACAATGGTGCATACGAAAGCAGAGGGAATTAAAAAATGTAGCACTGTACTAGTATATTGGAAAGGTTGGCGGATCCATGTCAACAAGATGAAAGTGATAAAAACACTAAGAAATGGAAATTTTCAGCACTAGATGTGGCGAAAATGGTCTAAAATAGTTGAAAAATTAAGAAACAATGAAAAAACAACATACTGTTGAGAACCCTGACTTCCACATCGTCCGCGCACGTGCAGTTGTACCCGCCGATGAAGCTGTAGCAGGTGCCGGGGTCGCAGGGGTTGTTGGCGCAGTTGTCAATCACGTTCCGGCAGAGGTACCCGTCATAACCGGTCTTACACGTGCACTCGTACGAACCCACCAGGTTCTTACACGTGCCGACAACGCAGTTGTTTGGGAGGCTGGAATACGAAGAAGTAGCTCTTTATTGCGTGCACGGAGTTAATTGCAAACTGAGAAGGACAATGAGTACAGAGTACAGAAGATATGGGCTTTATTAATCAAAGTGTGCTGAGTCCTTTTTGACTAGACGCTGCTCCTCGATCGTAAGATTGTGACTTGCATGCTACTACCTGGTTACACTACCGTTACATTTCCAAACCGATACCCCAACGGGTAGTTTACGAGCCGTTTCTTTTGCCTGTTTTTACGCTCGCGGGACTTAGAGAATACAAAAAAGACACGAGAAATCTATGTCGTTGTCTCACCTGCACTCGTCTACGTCATCTTCGCAGCTCACGCCGGAGAACCCTTGCTGGCAGGTGCAGTTCCGCCCGGAGATGCTAGGGGTCGGGGAGGTGCCCTCAATGCAGGTGCCACCATTTTGACAAGGGAAGTTGAAGCAGTTCCGCTCGGTGTCGCAATTCACTCCTACAGGGAGAACATCAGTTAAGGTTAATAAATGATGTAGGAGAGGCGTAGTCAGAAGAACAGCAATCTTAAAGTGCATTTAAGACTACTGTAATTCTTGATTTGTTAACTGTCACTAAATTATAGCTGATTTAGCTGTTACTTTTTTACCGCTAAAATTTCATTACCATAATACATTGTATTTGAACACTTTTGATCATCTGCCTTGTCCACACCGCTAAAATTAAGTGCCGTGAGCTAGTCCATTTTCCTGCCACCGCTATAATTTCCATCCGCAATATTAAATGGAATTACAGTATGTTGCTTCTTTACTTACGCTTTGATACCTACTTTTCTACAAGCGTCTTGTCTTTTATTTGTTCACTTCATTATATTTTACTTGCAACTAGCCGTTGGTCTAGAGCTTGCAGTTAACCAACATATATATATATATATACACTGTTTTACCACCTCTAGTGCAGTTATTTCAGTTTTTCTAACCCTCATCACCATCATACCTGGTGCACCAAAATCTGATGATCCAATGGGAAACGTGACAAATTAGAAAGAAAGAAGGGTAAGTAGTTTTAAGAATGAACGTTAGTACAACACATACGTACAAACAGCTACGTCTATATAGGACTGCCATACCCTGGTGTACTAGCTTGCGATTCGCCCTTCTCGCTGCATTACTGCCATTAGCGCTTTCTAATCGTCAACAGCCAATCACGTTGCCGCGTACGGCCAAGAGGCAACGTGATTGGCTAATAAATCTCCAACAAAAGGAGAAGGCGGATCTGATTGGTCGGCCAAGAGGCAACGTGATTGGCTAATAAATCTCCAACAAAAGGAGAAGGCGGATCTGATTGGTTGGTGACGGTTGGGCGAGAATGGCGAATCGCAGGTCGGTACGCCAGGATCGTGGCTTGATATACACATGTAAGGGATGGAATGATAGAATGGGTTATTTGGGATTCAACATATACGTACGATCAGAAGCAAAGTATGTAACTCAGACCAACCTTTGAACTGCGCGGGACACTGGCACCTGTAGGCGTTCTCCATGTTGATGCAGGTTCCTCCATTCTGACAAGGGTTCGACTCACACTCGTCGACGTCGATGCAGACCAGCGGGTCGGCCCCGGGTGTCCGCTCGTTCCACCCCGCTTTGCACTCGCACACGCCCAGGTTACACTTCTGTCCCACACCCGTACACTCCTTAAACAGGCACGTGTCCAGCTCGTGGCACTGGTCAAAGGTGGTTTCCCTGTGGCGGAAAATGACCGTCAAGTTGAAAGGTTAAAACTTATTTTGAAACGAAGGAACATGCGACTCAATTATCAAAATACTCATTGGGCATACAAATATTACACTGGACATTCTAAAGTGAACTTAAAAACTACTACTCTCTTTTGGCCTCTAATGGGTTTCAACATTGACATGTGACAAAATAAGTTCACGAAAGGAGTTGGTTCATAGTCTCACCTGCTCTCAATGGTCTTAGTCTTGAAGTCGATCTGATTGGCGGTTTCCTGCACGCTGCTGTAAGACACGAAGCGGAACTCCTCCATGCAGCCCCTCAGGGACTCGGTCACTTCGATGTACTGTTTGGCGTCGGTGGTCAGGTCGGTGGCCGGGTTCTTGAACCCGCCGACATACAGGGAGTTCACGTTGAGTGAATGGGCCGCGTCCGCTCCCTCACCTGGGTAATACAGACGACAGAAACCGTGATTTAAGGGACATTGCTTATCTCTGTTGTTTCACAACCATTTGAATTTCTCTCAAGTTATCACAGTATATATCTCGGGATTTCCTATTTCCCTGGTATCAGTTCTGCTTTTTATTTTCCCATTATGACCATCAATTTCCCATTGATGTCCAAGCAGATCTTTCGGTGGCTGCAATACAGTATCATGGCAAGCTGGTCAGGCAGTATCCATTTGATAGACAGTCAGCATTTGCCTAAACCTCTGAATTAGGGAGTACTACTATGATAGATACTTGGTCTCCAAATCATCCTTTGAAACATAACGAGATCTCGTGAAATCTCGCGACAGATCTCGTCGTGTTAGTGCGAGACTTTACCTGTGAAAGTGACCAGGGCGATGGTGTTGCCTGCGCGGTCCCTCATGGTGGCGGTGTTGGCGTCACGTTCGATGAACAGCTCCTGTTCCTGCCCGTCGTTAAACGTGTTGGTGGACACGTAACTCTCGTCCGGACCGCTGCCCTGAAGTAGCAAACAAGAACTTTACGATAATGTACTACATAATGTAATATTGAATGGCAAGTTTATGAAAGGCACTAGATTCGGATTGCTATTGAAAGTATATAGAAGAGAACAAACATTGCAAAACGTACCTTAGTGTTGAGCCTCAGCACAGCTTTTCCATCCTTGAGGTAGACCACTAACCAGGCGGGACCTCCGAAGTAGAAAAGCAGACCGTTCTGAGCCCTGGAGGAACAGGCACGGATGAACATCACTTATCAAATTGAGCCCAAAACACAGGAATGCCATAATCATTACCACAAGTCGCTGGCACATGGCACTCTGTTAGCCGTGGAATATAGCAAAGCAATCAGAAGCAAATGTGTGACAAAAGGAAGACAAAAGAGAAAACGAAAAAGAAAGAGACAGCAGGACTCAGCTATTTGTTACTTAAAAATGCTGCAGAAGGTACAAGAAAAAGAAAAGGACAAGAAAAAAAAAAGAAAAGAAAATGGTATCAATGTAAGGAAAGGGCGATCTTACTTCGTCCTGAACTTGAAGCTGATGGTTGTTCCCGACCTCGGCTGCAGGTCAGCCTGGACCTTCATGTATGACCTTGAACTTCTCAAGGTCGCAATGGAGGGCGGGGCACAGACAGGGCATGACGGGACGACCTGACCCGTGCCCTCAGTGGTGGACGTGAGGTCAACTTCTCGCGCAGGAGTTCCAACACGGAGGTACGAGAAGCACACGATTGGGTAGTTGTACAGACGTTGGGATTGTAACTGTGGGCGAAGAGCAGTAGAGTTTAACACAAAAGACTAGTAAATGAAAGGGGGAGGTACCTCTAACTATCAGGGAAAATGTTTACAGAACTCCCTATTAGTATTACCCTCATCTTAAAAAGTGGTATCGCCATAAACGTTCTGTCACTTTTGTATGGTCTTATTTTACGCGAGACAGGCTGGCAAGCAGTCATATTCGGTAACGAAAGGCTACCAATATTTATCGTCTTACTTACCCTCAAGTCATTGACTTCGTTGTATCCGCCGATGAAGGTGTTCCCTCGGAGGTTGGGATCCGTGAAGGACAGCTGTGGCTGCACATCCGTTAGCACCGTCAAGGGGGCGTTTTGTCCGTCGACGACCGCCCTCATCTGCCCGAGATGGTGGTCCTTCATGTTGGTGATGACGATTTCGTGGGTCTGGTTGTTCTGGACTGGTGGGTTGTTCTCGTCTCCTATGAACATCTACGGATGCAGTATACATTCTCGGGGTGAGTCACAGCTCATATATGATTTGTTTGTGTGTGTAACGTCCTGTGTTACTGGCAACCATTTATATTCAGTCATGTGCCTGCAAGTGTCCTGACAATCGCCAAGGTGCGTCGGTTAGACATCTAGGTAATGAGATATTCCAATAACAGTTACTCAAGCAACTGGATGTGATTTCTGGAAACGGTCACACGTTTCAGGCATCATCCACTACCTTTCGTCAGCGAGACTGGAAAGCTCTTAACTTCAGCAGGTTTGTAAACACGAACTATTGATTGATACGCAAATGAGCAAAGACAAATCGCCAAGGTGTTTTTCAAACACCATTCTTATTGCCATACAAGCTTCATCACTAAGGTATACATTTTTGCATCTTAAAAAAAAACTTGAACATACCTCAAGAAGCTGTCCACTGAGAGAAGCCTCGATGTATATCCGACCGTTGAAAACGCCCATTGAGAAGAAATTCTGCGCTTGTCCACCCTGGTAGATGAGCAGTCCTCTCTCGTTACATGCTTTGAATCTCATCTCCAGCTTGTCCTCTGCTCCGGCTAGTACTGGGTTTGCAGAGAGCTCCCATTTCAGGAAACCGCCCTTGTCCACGAAGATTTCAGAACTCGCCAAGTTGGCTATCGCCAGTAGTAAAACTGTTGGAAAACAAAAATAGTGTCGTTAGAAGAATACGAATACAAGAATATCAACAGAAAAATTGATAATTTGGATATTCTATAAAGCAACAAACTAAATTGGAATAGCAACATAAACCACAGAACCCAAAATGTAGCAAAATTAGTAGCGGAGGCATCCATATTTCAATCAAACTTGACGTTCAAAAAACCAAGCTCATAGTCCTTACAATTCCCATTACAACCGCAAGGTGTCGCTTGCACCACGTCACTGGCAGCCGCTACACTACTATAGTATCATGACCAACTTTAATCCTCCTTCGTAATTTCTGCTTTCACTTTAGCTTATCAATAAGCTGCGTGCAAAATCGAGATTGCTTTATTTCTGTGTCGAAGTCATCGAAGATGAAGACAACAGGATCCAGAACAATTCCTAACTGGATCAAATTTCCACATATTCCAACAGCGGACACACAGAAGACAGAATACTGCACAACTCTAACGTAGTTTCTCTCAGCTTAGTTTAGCAATGACCCTAGCGACCTTCCCTGTTAACAAGTTATTATCGTAAGAATCAGGAGTAATGCAGGCGGGGAATGTGCCGGCGCGGAGGAGGCTCAGGATCTGTAAACCAGACTGCCAACACCCTCAACAGACATAACCCAGCTGTTAGCCGGGTGCTATGGGGCCTTGCATGAGGGAAATGTGCACCCTTCATCGATTCCGGTTCTATCACTGGAACAGTTTTTAGTTTGCAGTATGTGTACCTTTTAGTATCTTTTTCTTACGTTTCTTATTTGATCACTGGTGTCCAAAACTCACCAAAATGGTGAAAAATGTCAACAGTCATCTATTTTCTCTACGGAAGTTGCCTATTTCACAATTGCCCTTCTATCAGTTCCTCTTTGACGCATTTTAGTGACGTAATAGAAATTTAGGCGTAGTCATACAGGAAGTATCTGACATTTTTCTAACAAGTTCTAACAAGCCAGGAAGTGTTACTAGTATTCTGTACCGCCAGTTGAATTGAATGACTAATAATCAAACTTTTTCATTATGCCAAATGTAAGCTGTGTAGTGCTAAGCCTGCTCCACAAATAGCCTCCGTCTGCAGTCAAAGGTGAACAATTGAAAAGGGATGGAAAGTAAACATGGTTTCTTGTAACGGTGGCAGACGTGAAGTACATGGTTTTTGGTCTGTACACATAGAAGTTATCTTGTAACAGTCATGCCCGTACCCGATGTGAACTCTCACCGACTCCATTTGACTTCTGAACCTAACGGTCAACCTCAAAGCTTAGCCGTACATCCACGGCTATACCCATGAATACGTGCGCCTTTTCCAGCGTGCTTTTGAAGCCAAATCCTCCACTCTTGTAGAAAAAATAGCCGCATTATGCAATTTCACGGCAGTTTTGTTCGTTTTTCCAGTTGAGCCTCTCGTGGTTGATTGGATTACGGGTTCAGAGGCCACCGTCCTTGCTGGAGCCGACAGGAATTTAATTTCTGGAGAAACCATTACTCTCTGTTAAGCCCCGTACTTTTAATGGCGACATTTTTAGAACATTCGTTTACCTGCATGTGGTTTAAAACGTCTGTGAAATCTGTTGATAGATCCATTTCTACCCATTCAGTCAAAAAGCAATTCAGTCAAATGTTACATTTCGTTTCTTAATCATAGCAAACAAAAGTGTCCTTGAAATAAAAGAGACCAACCGAGAGCCTGCTCTAGCCCAACATCTGTTGTTCTATCTTGTATGTCGAACTATTCTTATCCAGGTCCACATAACGGCTGAATTATTGGTGTATGTTGTTAATATCCCCGAGTTACTACTGTTGCAGCGTTTACAGGCGTGTTTTCTTTTCTTTACATGCGTTTTATTTTCAAAGGTGTCAGTCTAGAACACTAGTATCTATTGCTCGTATGATTCTAGCATCAAAATATCTGCCATGAAGAATTTTGTTGGAATCACTAGAACGATGGCCATGTACGATAGTTCTTAACCGTAGGTCGCAATTTAATCAGGATGCCTACTTTTTTAAAGTCTGAAGACACATAAATCAGTTAAAATTGTAGGAAGTCCACAGACCATTTCAGGAAATTGAATGTTAAACCCTGTTTCTCTCAAGCCTCTTGCCAACTGGAGATAAATATCTACTCGGCTGAGGTAAAGACAGCGCCCCAAATGACACAGCATTCCTGCCGTGGGTCAACCTGCGCTGCTGCAGTTTAAAAACACGCCCTAATTACCAGCAAAATGACTCCGAGCAGCACTCAAATGACCGTGAAACGGCCGGACATTCCCAACCCCCAGCAATCACTGAGGGGCTGCGTGTCCAGAGAGTTCCCAGGGAGACTGGTGTTGTGTACCGTACGTCGCGAAAGTTTCGCGGTGGTCTTATTTTCGCGGGTTGACGTCTCCTCCATGACACCGCGAATATGACACATGTACTGCACGTCGACAGAACTGTTTCGAATGCGAATGTAAGACACCTTGAAACTTCCCATCTTTCTCTACCTCCTATCGCGAAATAAAACACTAATGCTAATGCTCACTGCTTGGTCAGTAGTGGTTACTGCCTTGCCACCGTAGGATCTGCTTGAAGATTAGCCTAGTGCATGTCGAAGAGCTGGCCTGTGTAGGCCCTGACAACAGCCTGGATTCCAGGTTACTAGTAGGGAATGACGCCAACGCTCAACAGAAAATGGTTCGTGATTACATTGAAGCGCTTCGTTCTTGTAAGGGGTTGAAGTGTTTTTGATTGATCATAAAAGCCCCATATTATACGTTTATTATCGGGTGTCTAGAGTCTGTCATTATGATTCAGATGTCCTACTTCAGTTGTATTTCAGTAAATGGAGATCAAAAAGGCTTTTATAAAGGTTTCTAGAATATATACATACTCGCTTTCAAATTAGTCCTATAACAAAGTGATCTTTCTTTGCAACTCAATAAAATCTATCTTGAAATTTCACAATTCAGAAATTTAACTAAGAAGGTTAAAATTTTAGTCAACATGACATTGAGTATGACTTCAAAGTATTTCCAGACGACATAAAAGCATCATTTCCAGTCTAGTCTGAAATCTAAACATAACCGTCTTTTGTTTTCTGGACCAGACGTCGAGACCATTGTAAATCAACACAAAGGGAGGCCTTCAAAATCGGTCCTGTATTGTGTCAGGACTTGTTCGACCACTTTGGGCCCTCCAGGCGTCTTCATCTGCGCAAGGGATGACGGGATGACATCATTCTCTGTGGTAACATGTACACCTGTAATAACTGTCGTCTGACATGACTTGTGGCACGTCGACCATAATTCTAGGACAAACACTTTTGAAAGCAACCGCCAAAAAGACACATGAAAGGACAACTCAACTACTCAGAGAAGTTTCCGTGATGCCATTTATAACGAGATTTGGAAACTTGTCATCTACTCAAGTGAAAATTTGGTCAGTGAAAGATTGGGATCACCAGCGTTGTTTATAATCTTTCATCAGTCAAATTTTGCACACGAACCGCACAATCACAAAAGAGAATCTCAGTCAGTTGTCGCCTGGAGCGACCCACGGTTCAACCCCCGATACAAGATGGCGTCCCCTGACCCCTCTATTGTTCCCTGGGTTACAATAATCGACGGGAAAATATTATATCTGGCTTCACAACAGATGTGTAAGCTAAAAGCCGTGCGTTTGTTGAGGGACTACTAGTATGACATAGCCTCGCCTAAAATTCAACCTAACGGACGAACGGCACATAGCTAGCGTCCACACGCGAATCACAACGTCCGCACTAAAAGCATTCTTTGAAAGGCTAATTTGACATCTGTCAGGGTTGTGAATCGCCGGGTTAAGTATTCCTGCGCCTCGGAATGCATTAGCGTCATAACTGGCACACATCGGGATGGAACGATGGAGAAACACGGTTTTATCGTTTGAGTTTTTTAGTCTGTTCAAATTTACAAGTTGCTCCTTTGAGAACACGGGTCTTGCTCAAAGAAGAGAAGCAGAACAACGAGAGTTCTTTAAAAATGGCATCGTCTGTTTATCGTGTTCCTTTCTTGAATTAAACTTTTTGCACTTTTAACAATGACACACAGAAGAACTTACAGTAATTTACTGACAGGAATATCTTTGGTAGGCAGGATATGCCCCTGTTCTCTTCGTAATATACATATTCCCACCAAAATGCTGCACATGTTTTGACGCCATTTTTCACGAGATAAGACTTTAAATGAGGTCAAACGCTTGATTTTTTTTCTCACCCTAGGAAATACAGCGATGTAATCTCTTGTACACAACTGACCATGATTTGATTTTCTCTCAGATTAAAAGCTTAGAGCTCCCCTGGGTCTCACCAGTATATCAAATGTCTGACAAGCGTTGATTTAAAATCCCATATTTGAAACAAAAAGTCTGGCGGTTTGATTCTATGAACTAAACATGGCGACCTGGCTGTCATTCATTATTACGAGTATGTTGACCAACACAACTTAATTTTGTCCCTTTTACTAAAATTGGCCACCCTAGAAGTGCCAGACTGTCGAAGGATAAAACAGAAAACCTAAGATCTTTTTCAAGATGGCGTCAGTTTTGTTTCGAAATTCAAGAGATAATATCAAGGTGACCTTGCTAAGCTTGGATCAAAATACTAGTAAGTCATATTCTGCCCCCCCCCCCTTCATAATACCGCACGGAATAAGCTTTTAACTTCGTGTTGAGGACGCAGAGATCAAAACCTTTTTAGGTCATTCATATTTCAGAAGAGCACTTTGTGGGAAAGATGATCCATATTAATGCAGACACTTGACATATTATCCATGTGGAGTGGACTCAGTAGAGGGATAGTTGACCATTTGGTCCAGACCGACAGCCATCAAACCTGGCTCTAAAACCTCTCAAGTTGCCCATCTCTCTAACTGGACCCGACAACTGCCCGACTATCTGTCCGCTCATCACACGATGTGTACATAAGGAAACGAGGGGCAGTCTCTCTTGGGTAATATCGCGTTTTTAGCACT